TGTGAAGCTGGCTGCAATACAGCAGTCACTGAACAGAAGTTATTCCTGCACCATGTGTTTCTTGTAAACTTTTGTATTGATCTTTCCTCTTTCAATCCATCTGCAGCCAAAAACTGCTAATTACCATCAGTCCTTGGTGGCAGATCAGTCACTGAGTGGAGGAAACTGAACTTCTTGTACTTTCAGAGCAGTGGGGAGCAAACTTCTACAACTTGAATAACTTTGGACACTTCTCATTCCCTTTTCATTAAGCAAACTGGCTGCAGCCAACCATAAGTCAGTGTGGTTTTGGAAAGCTAAAGGCAGAAAAACATGTTCTAGTTATTTGGGGTAAAAATATTTCCAGGGCAGGAGCTCAAGCACCCACCTTTACTTTAACCTTTATGGGACTGTGGTGCAAAGGAGTGGTGGTGGCAGCTCTTTAGACATCACTACCTGTAACATGCTAGATGTTGATGTGCATTTTAACTACCTCATGATAAGGAGTATGGAAATGTAGTGCCATGGCAGTGTAATACCAGTTTCTAGGCCATTGCAGTGCGTTTTGTTGGCTTTGGATATGGCCCCATGCGCTGATTCTAACAGGTGTGCTTTTCATTCCTGCAAAATCACAGGGTGAGCTGCATGTGCTGGCTGCAGCTTACAGCATGGGCTGCCCCATACAGTGCCCAGGGGTTTGCAAGCAGCTCCTGCCACCCTGGATCATCACGTTGGAGTTACTGTCCCAACAACAGAACAGTTTTAAGCTGGAACTTTTAGTTTGCCCGGGAGGATGAAGGCAGTTATCACTCTTGAGGGGGATTTCTATCAGCAGGGTCTAAGGAAGGCAGAAATCTGTAACCAGCGTTTACATTTCAAGCAAGGAAGCCAAATATTTTTTTTTGCTTGGAACTATTTAAGATCGGAATGTAAATAAATTCTTCAGATCCAAAGCTTTAAAAGAAAGAAAGCCTGTGTCAAACTGATTTCTTATGCTTTGGTCCTCCTTTTTTCTTCTTCTTTTTTTTTCTTTTAGGGGCATGGCCAGTTCTTATTGATGACTTTGTGGAATTTGCACGCCCTCAAATTGCTGGGACAAAAAGTACAACAGTGTAGCACTAAAGGACCCTTATAGAGTGTACATAGTCTGTACAAATACCTGAAATGGAAAATTGCACAGTCAATTTCTGCTGGCTGGACTGAACTGAAGATCAATCCTCACAATGTGGCTGAGGGTTGAGACAAACCTTTAAGGATACATCATGGACCATATCGTAATTCATCCTTCTACTGGTGGTTTGGGCTTTTCTTCTAGTCTGGACCACTGCTGCCAGTTAAAATTCCAACATTGTGGATTTCATCATGGATGATGATTTTTTTTCTGGACTGCCCAAGTTTCAGCTCCCATAAGTCCGAGCAGCTTTATAATGATTTTGAGGTTTCTGGTTTTGCATAAAGCACAATGCTGGTCGTCACCACACGATTGTTGTATGGCATCTGAATTACACAGCTCAACATCAGAAGAGTTTCTAAAGGAATCCTTAAATATACACTTGGGGCTAGTTGCAAAGACAGTCTTGATAGCACTTCCTTTAAGAGTGATATATTTAAGTGTACTGGGTCTGATTTTGCTTTTTTAATTAAATTTTTTTTTTTCCCTTTTCTGGAAAACTGCAGGTATCGTCTAAATGAGTGTGAGCGTCTGGTAATAAGAGTTACAAAAGAACCAGGAAAGCTTCAGGTTGTTGATACTGGGCTGTCTGGGTGCCTGTCTGCATTACTTGATTGTACATCAGCTGCCCCTGAGAACAGTTGAAGTATGACACAACTCCTGTGCGCTTACAGCAGCTGTGTTGGGTGTTACAGACGGCCTTTGGTGAGATGAGCTGTGTGTGTAAGGGTAGATTCTAAGATTCTTTAGGTTGTCATCTAAGGAAATGGATTTTGTTGCAGTTATGAAATGCTTCTGTCACACAAAAGCTTTCTCATTGCTGTGGAAATCTAAAACTTGAATATGCTGAATTTGTGTCTTAACGTTTGCAGCACAACACAGTATTTCAAATTCAGGCATGGAGCTTTCATGCTTGAGGTGTGAGGAAGCAAAAGGCCCTGTTATAATGAGAAGATGGTGAGTTTGATATGAAACCTGGTTTTGAAACCATTACTCTGAGAAGCAAGTTGAATCTTCATCATGTAGAGGTACTGCCGCTGTGGATGACGCCGATTTTTAATTATTTTGTTGAGCTTTCCTTAAACGGACATTTCACTGTGGTTGCCAAATATAGAAATGAAGTGTAAAGCATGTCCAGACACAGATCAGATATAAACTACTACACTGGCTTTGTTTCCTTAAGTTATTTTGTTGGTTCATCACTACTTCTCGTTGTCTTACTGCGTTTAATTAAACCAAGTTCCTTTTGTTCAGAACAGGTGTTATCGGATGCAATCCTTTATTAGTAACGTTACAAGAGAGCTCATGCCCTGCTGTTGTGCTAAACATGATCTACTGCCGAGTTGTTACTGGGGAAGAGATGTTCTCTTGAGATCAGTTCTGCTCTGTAAAAGCGAGGTGGAAAATACAAAGCTCCAGGAAAGCAGAAGCCTTAGTTGCCATTAAGGTCGGAGGTGAGAGCCCATGTGCTGAGCAGTCCCACGGTAAGGCCGCACTTCTGAAATAGTAACTGGTACTTGCAGTAAGCAGCAGAACATTTGTGTGCGGATGCTAAAAGTATTTTAGGGGGAAAAAAAAAAGAGGAAAAAGACTATAAGATTGCTGAAAATGTTTGTTTGTGTTCTGTGAGGTTTGACCACAAGGCTCGCTCCCCTCCTAGCAGTGCCCTTTGCAAACCCATCTGTGCATTTGTTTCCAGAATCCGGTTCCGCAGAACCATTGCAGACTTTCTCCAGCTACTGGAATTGGCTATGCCAAAAAATGTGTGTTTTGCTGCTTTCACTATTTCCTTTTTAAATTTTGTGTAAATATAAACGGGGACTTGAGATCAGGGGCGGGGTGTGTGTGGAAAAAGCTCTACAAGGTATCTATGCGTGCTGTTTTCTGTCTTGAGGGTTCTGGTACAGTTTGAGGTTGATTTGTTCGTATGCTGTGTCTGGGATGAGAACCAACTGTTTTTGTCCCAGGACAGACTTGTCCCTCAAAAGAAGTCTGACGTGGGGTAGTGGCATAATGCCGTGCTGTTTTAAAGAATATTCCTTTTGAATGCAAAATCTTTTCAACAAAATAGTGTTGTCATCAGTTTGGTACTATGTGCTTATAATTACTGTGTAATTATAAAGAAATACATAAAACTTTGAGTAATTATGTTGCAGAAAAAGGTTATTTGTGCTATGATGGCATCTTAAAGAGTTTTTCAAAAAACACTGATTTAACAGGGTGTTGTTTTAAGGACAAAATGCCTGGTGAGAGAATATTTTGTACTGAAAAGTGCTCAGATATGGCCATGTGGTTTTTTTGTTCCTTTAGTTCTGTTTTTTTTAAGAATGCAGACAGTTGCTTCCTTGGATTGCTTTAATTCTTAAGTGCTAATGTCCTCAATCTGATCATCTCCCCTTAATGGATCAATTTAATTTTGCCAAATGTGAGGAAAAAAAAAAAAGGTAAACATCTCGTTTATAATCTGTTTTTATACATTAAATATGTACAAAATTAGAAGTGCCCTGATATAAAACACTCATGTCAAGATTATATTTAGTAAGAAACCATCATTTACATATCTCTGTAAGTTCAAATGTAACTTCTTAAATCCCTCGCATTCCCAACAGAGGCAATAAAGCTCCAATGAAATTGCCATGACTAAGTCTTCTCATGCATTGTTTCAGTGTATTATTCGTAAGACATTTCTAGACTGTTTTTTTTAACCACAAATAAGAGTGGAATATTGGTCCCTAACACACTTGAGGGTGGGTAAGTCTTTTTTGGGGGAAAGTATCTATGAACTGATGCAGTCTTGCCTACTGCTTATGCTGAATGTTTACAGGTACAGAATGGAGCTGACCTTACCCAGCTGTGCTGCATTACCATTACCTACCATGCAGTGGAAGACACCACACACAGTGCATTTGTTTAAGTTGGGTTAAAGACTACAGTACCATAAAGTGACTTTTTTTTATTGAACAACCTGTTAATGCATAACTTATGAATTACTTCAGAACTGTTTTACAATGAACTCCTTGCAGAGAACTCCTTATTTAAGAAAGATATAATTTTTTAAGAACGCATTTAATAAACTTTTGTCATTCACACTTATTTGAAATAACAGTGCCAGACGTCTCTGTAGACTTTATTTGTGTGTGGTAATGCTGCCTGTATTTGGTTTTTAAGTCCTCTGCTCTTAGAGAGCTCAGACAGCCCAGTACATAGTTGATGAAATTGTAATCTTAGGGCTAAGAAAGAGGCTTTTGCTTTGCAGTACTGAGCTGAATGATTGAGAACCAACAGGTGAGAGCAGCTAAGGAGTTGGGCTCTGCAGTCAGAATGGCCGAAGGGTGGACATATGAACAGGTACTTGTTAACTGGTAGCTCCTGATGTTCTGCCAACTATTTTTGTCCTCCAATAATCTCATACTAGTTATTTCAGTTCTCCTTGTAGATAACAAAATAAACTGGTACTTTGTGTTTCCCTTTTAAGCTTTAATTCTAATGTCTTCGTCGCATGACGTGTCAAGCCTTTCTCCCAAAGCATTCAAGGGCAGAAGGCAAAATATTGAACAGGGGCACTGTTAAAGAAACCAAAGCTGAGGAAAGGGATGTGGAAGGAGGTTGGCAAGGTAAAGTCTGTCCATGTGCCTGTCCATCTGTCCAGTTGTCTGTTTGTTTCTATCTGTCCATGCAGCTGTCTGTCAGTCCCTCAGGTTCCATGTCTTTGTGGAGCTGTGCAGCCCTGTTGGACTGTTCCTGTCTCCTCCTCTGTGACTGAAGGTGGGGATAAAGGGGGGGGGGGGGGGCAGCCTCAGTGCTCTCAGGTATCTTTTCCTCTGACCTGTAATTAAAACAATGACTCAGCTGTAAGCGAAAGTTTTATTTAATAAATATAATTCATTTCCATAAACCATAAAGCAACTTCTACTGCCCGAGCTGCACGATGCGCAAGCACACAGATGCGCTGTCAGCGTCAGAAGGAACACGAGGCAGCCACAGTGTCACAGGTCCAGAATTCTTAGTACTAATTATTGCTACAGTTTCCACTTGCCTGTGATCCTTAATTGCCTAAAATTAAGGATCAACTTCGTTAACATGGTACCCTCACATGCTTTTCCTATTCATGTTGGGTTTTTTTTCTCAAAAAAAAAGGAGCAAGGAGAACTCGATGCCCCTCCCAGGAGGAAGGAGTGATGGTAAGTGTGCATAAGAACTGAAATCTACAGTAGGAACATAACTGGAAATTTAGAAAGTCACTTCCTTGCATCCTCTTTGTATCTGAAAGCGAACCCCATTATAACCCATACCAGCAACAGAGGAAAACAGTGATATATGTATATATTTTTTTAAAATTCATTGCCACAATGCAGAAAAGATGAGAATGACTGAACTCTGCTGCTACTCCATGTAAAAGTGCTGAGGAACATACACACTGCATCCCATTCGGGTGAAGCATAGGATTTCTTTTAGGCAAGTCACACTGCTGTAATCTGCAGTATTTTTCATCTCTTATCACTTCATATTACGTATAGAGATCTTTGGCCCACGGCCCATCAGCTTTTATTCATGTCCATGCATTTATACAAACCAGAAACAGCAACAAAGAAGTCGTATCTACAATGACAATTTTATATACTTATTGTAGAACAGCGAGGTAATATGGCAACACCTAGAGCAGGGCAAATACATCAGCGTGATGAGAACATTCCTTTTAGCCACAGAAGCGTGAGCAGCAGAGCCAGTGCTGCCATCTCTATGAGCAGCTGAACAATCTAGGGGAAGCAGAAGCCTCGCAAATACCGATGCGAATGCATGTTTAAGCTGATCGAGGGCAAGAGTTGGGTGGTGCAGCCATGAGCATCCCATCTTTCCTCCTGTTTGTAAATTGAGTCAATCAAATAGGAAGCAGAAACCAGAGAAGTCATACCACTGGAAGCAAACAGAAGCAAAGAACATACAAACCAGCCAACAATGAAGAGTCACAGAAAGAAAGAAACAGCCTGCAACAAAAGTCTAAGTAGGAAATAATTTAGAAACAAGAAGAGAAGGCTGAAATTAATCCATATTTCAGGATGGCTGGTTCACCCAGCTCTAGGAATGCATCTCCATTAAAAAAAAAAGTAGAACAAAGCAGGTGCAGTGCTGGTGGTTATAGCTATTAAGTAAGTTATTTTCCAGAGCAAAAGAAGAACAGCTTAAATGGCTCACAAACACATGATGCACTTTTGGACACTAAATTTCAGTAAGTATGGAAGTAAGTGTCAAAGAAAACTAAACTATTAAAAATAATATAGACTACTGATTCAACAGCTTTGAGACAGACACTTCTAACACTAGAAAATGAGACTTTTTTTCCCCCCCAGTATAGAAGCCAGTCATAAAAAAGAATGATGTTTGGAAAGTATTAGTAAAGGTTCCAGTAAGAAATTATGGTTGCCTAATATATACGCACTCTGAGTTGAGCTGCATAACGTTTTGTACTAGAAAACAAGAACTCAGAATGAGTTCTTCCTTTGCTTTTTTTTTTTTAAATTCCCTCCTCCATTGCCTTAAAAAATACACAGAATATTTTAAGCAGAATCTACACACATTCCAGTTTGTGAACAAAGTGGAACATATTCCCACTCCCTCTTTTTTGCTGCATGGTTAAAAAGCCTAAGTCTGGTAACTTGCTTTAACGGACTGCTTGCTTTCCTGCCACATGTTATGGGCTTCAAGGCTGAGACCCAGCTCTATCATAGTTCTTTATTTCCTTCCTACAGCACAGTCTCCCTCACCACTGAATCAGAGAGCTGAATTCTTCTTTGAATGGAGTAAGCTGTATTTTGTGCTGTCATCTTTGTCAAGACTGACTGACTTTTACAGTAGACTCAGTGCATGAGTGTTTCATACACTTTAACTGTCAGAGAAATACACAACAGCTTTCTTCCTTGAGCAAAAGCAATTCTCAATCATCTGTGACATATTTACAAAAACATATGGTCCTAACTAAGTGTTTGCCAGACCAAAAATCTGGTCATGTGCAAACTGATTCTATACTCATTAAATGATAAATTACAGGTTTAACTTGTACTGCAAATAGAAAAATATACCTTGGCAGACAGATGGATTCTTAAGTTCTTCCTGAACTGTTTAAATGCGCGTTTCTTCGGTAACCTTACAAACACTGGGAAAAGGGAAAGCAGGGGAAGAGGGACAAGAGGAGATGGAAGGTTTTAAAGAAACATATATAATCAGTGTAAATATTCTTCAAGTTCAGGACTGTGCATCTTCTGTGCACATAATCAACATACTTGTATGGTAAAAGCCAACAAACATTTCTGTACAGATCCTGACCCAATCTAAGTGCTTGGAGTGGGGTTATCAAACCCTCTGACATTCTGACAGAGTGAAGCACAGTGTCTATTTCCACACATGGTGCACCAGCCAGACACACAGATGAGCTAGCTAATGAGGCCCAACAGTCACACACTCTGCCTGGGTGCTGTGGGTGACACGGACAAACACACACTTCTCAACGGTGAAACATGGTGGCTTACACACAAAAGATATGACAAAACAGCAGATATCTGTTAGAGTTTTTAGAAACATCTTAGATATTGATGTCAGATAGAAGACTGTCTCAGAATGAGAAACTGCTAAGACAAGCAACTTACTCAGGCCAATAGGGGGAACCCCTGCAGGTGTGCTGAAAGCAGCCAATGCTGGTTTTGTACTAATCTCAAGCTTAACTGCATCTTCAGTTAAGAAGTTGTTACAGGAGCTATTAGTTATTTACAGTCTGTTGGATCTAGTTTCTTTCACTGAGAATTTTAATACACTGCTTTTTACCTTCTGCTGGCCGGCAGGAAGATTCTTTCAATAGTGATAGGACTTGAGACTGACTTCAAACTGGATTCCCAAACAGGTGTCCAAACACAGCAGCATTTTTCCTGGCCTGCACCTGAGGACTACCTAAGACAAAGCTCTAACCTTCATTTAGCTCTCACATATAAAGAAAGAACCCTAATAGCTCTGGCCAACACGGCAGAACAAAGAGGCAAATGTTGTTATCCTTCCCCAAACATGAAGACACATTTATTTAAACTGATGAGAAAAAAAAAAGTACCTGCAAGATGTATCATGTACCATTCAAAGCTGCATTGGTGCAATTTGTTTTTATTGACATACTTAGGTATCAAAACACTGCCACCAATGTCTCAGATTCTTCAGATATATGAAGATAATTAAGCATCAATTGCATCTTCAACATACAACGCGGCCAAATATAAATACATGAAAAAGAATAAAACATGCAAAGATTCACCAACATTAAAAGGATTCCTCACTCAAAAATTTATGCTAGTGAGACACCTGCACGAGCCACTGTTTCTTACCCATTTTTCCACATCAAGTTTGTGACTGGTTAATGAAACAGTTGTTAGAGAAGATGACTGGCTTTGAATCACACTTAAAGAAAACAGTGACCTGTTAAATCCTCACGACTCCGAATGACCGATGTACGCCGTTTCTCAAAGTGATGACTAATAAAATTGCCATTCATACACCAGCACAAATATTTGAATAATATTTATCTCTAAAATTACTGAGTATTTAAACGCTTTAGAAACCGTCCATGGAAACAATAATCTGATCTGCAACCCGCTAAGACAGCAGCTGTAAAAGACAGTTCAAACTGAGTGCATGTGCAGTAAAGGGCAATCTAATTTCATTATGTTCCACTTGCGTTTCATTATGCAAATTCTATTTGATCGCTTGCATTTGGGAGAAGATTTTGTACTGTGTTGTACCAGCGTCTCAAATATCAAATACAAGGTTCCAATCTGCTAATATGGTAACAAAAAAGATTTAATGGTGAAAGCTGAAAGTGTTTCTTACCAAAAAAATTTAGCAATTTGTGGATATCATTAGAAAAAATATTGGAAGCAAATACAGTCCAGATGACCGCTATGCTTGGCTACAGGACAGCCAGTTTGCCTTTAAGTCACACTAGTCCTGTCTAGGGCAGGGATGTAGAACTGTACTCGCTTCAGAACCTACTACAGGTACGTGAGCACCACTTGGCTTCCACAAGGTATTTACAAATGTCCCTGTTAACAAGTGGACGAGTCCATTGTGGAGAGAGTCAAGATGCTTCTGTCGTTGGCATAGAAGGGATCCGATGAACTCCATGATCTAAAGTAACAATAAAAAAGAAGTTTGGCTGACTGGGAACTTACAAGCTAGAGGCGAGGAAAAAAGTCTATGAAAGCAAAGATAAAAATGTTACGAGATTAGGCTCATGTAACCCTTTAAAAGACTTAGCCATTATTTCATATTTCACTTGCAATTCATTTTAACCCTTGAAAGTATACTGCAATTAGTAAATCCAACTATGTAGTTAACAATTCCAAATTTGCTAGAAATGTAAAGTTAATCAGATGTTTTCATTGCTTTGAGCTGAAATGACCACAGGCCTCGAAGGCCAGCTTTACGACTACATTTTTAGTAACGTGCCTCAAGCAAAGAAAACAAATGTTGCACACCTAAGCTGAGACACCAAGAGCAGTGCGGTTCAACTGCCTGAGGACATTCAAGTACAGCCTTGCAGAACGCACAGCCAGCCACAGTATGTCAGTTCAGGGGTGTTCTGATGTGAAACACTGCCTAAAGTTACACGTGGGCAAAACCTTATCTACAGACATGAGGTTATTCCAACTCTCACTGTTAAATTTAAGTTAAAATTTAAGGCATCGAAAAGCTAACATGGCTTCTGGTTCAGATATGATCTCCCAACATCTTTCCCTCAAGGACAGATTACTGTTTCTACTACTGCACAGCAACCACAGTTCTCCACTGAACAGCATTATAGGACTGTATGTGAAAAGCTGAAAAATAAAAGACTGGAAGGCAGGGAATATAAGAACTTTATCCTCCAAATGTGTCTTCTCTGTCAGAAATCTGCTGTTTCTTCAGAACTTTTACATGCAGTGCTTTGACACAAGTACCACTCATGGGAGAGCCAACAACTCATAATGAATCTTACAAGAATGTGAAGTGATCCAGAATTCCTAATGTTTTAGTGACTGACAAACTGACAGACAATTGAATGGGACAGACAGACAAAAACGCATTCTTACCATGGCACACGGTTCACATTCTAACCGGTGAATGAAACTATAGCAAATACTTCTTAAATGCATTTCACAAGCATAAAGTACTATATTCCTGTAGCCCTCTACTCCAAGCATTTGTACAACTTTGATCCAAAGTTTCTAGGAAAATTTGATACCGTATTTGATTTCATGTTCTCATACTTGACAGAATATCATACTTGATAGATTATAATGAGCATAAAATACAACACAACCTATGACATCAACACTGTTTTAAACACTGCTCTTCATTCCACAGCACGCTTACAGCCAATCTGCAGCTCCTCCTGGCTGAATACAGAGCTGTTTTATGAAGCACACGTACGCACAAGACTGAACTGCTCAGGATCACAGGATCCTCAGAAAACATCAGTTCCTGAGTTCAATGAAAGCGGCCTAGGACTTAAGTTTTACAAACACTTCTGAATTGCCAAACAGCTCTGCTAAGCACACCTTCAGCACTTTTCCGTTTGTAACTGTTGAATGCGATTACAGCAGAATTCAACTAAGACTGATGCTTATTATATGCCAAGTGTAAGGGAAGAACATAAATACCCTTGACTTTTAACAGTACCCTGACTGTTAGACTAGCTTTTAAGTAATAACGTAGTATGGATGGAACTGAAGTCACCAAAGAAAGCAAGCAAGAATTACATTTTAAGGAGCATTCTTTCTAGTTCTCCTGTTCAGAAAATTAAGGGAAACTAGAAAGTAGTTCTGAATAATTTCAACCACAGGCAGAAACAAAAGCTAGAGCTTCAGGCCCTAACTGCAGCACAGGACAGTTCTGCATGACCATTAAACACTCTAAAATTACAGAGCTAACTGGAACTTCGTTTGAAAAAGACGTGGTAAGCAGACAAGAAACCTGAGAAAAAGCTACCTTCAAAAACTGACCAATATTCTGTCAAATATGATTTATATTCAGTATATAGTTTTAAGCAAGTTCCTGAAGAAAGTCAGTATATACTGAGTGGAAAAAGAGAAAAACTGTAAAGATGAAAATGCATTGCAGGAAATAAAACAGAATACCTACCTTGTATAACTACACAAGTTCTTTAAAGGGAAATGTAAACCAAAAAAAATTGCTTCTGATTAGATAACAATGAATTTTAAAAAGCAGCATGAGAAGTTCCTCATTTGGAAAGCACAGTTTTACAAAGAAATAGAAAAAAAGAAAAACCCAAACAAACCAAGAGCTTAGAGCAATTACCATTAAAATGCTGATTTTCAGATCAATTAAATGCTCATCTTGTAGATTAAAAATTCTACTAAATTGTTTATTTTATACATCATGCTCACCTTCTATACAGCAAATTTTAATTAAAAGTGTACTTAATCATAACAGTTCATTTTTCATACAGAATGAAACGTTGCATAATTATTCCCTGGACGCGTAGAAATGTTGAATAAATTTCATGAGCAAGTCAGAAGAGAAACCAACTGAAATCGCAGGCAGTGCTCAGCGCAAGAGCTGGAAACAGGGACGCAAAATCAGAACGGACAAAGCTCGTCAGTGAAAACTGCCCACACGAGATTTCATACTGAATGAATGATATCACGACCTTTAGCTAAAAGTGACAAAGTCAAACAAAATAAGTTTCCTTGAAAACACACGAAGCACAGCTCTTTCAGGTTTACCTTTTGACCGATGAAAGACCATGACATCATTCAGGCATTGAGAGATTACGATGTACAAGAGACTGATTATTTCTACCCCCAAATATTTCCGTACTTATTAGACAGCCCTCTCTATTTTGAAGTGGGGAGATGGCACATAAGCAGGTTTACTGAGAGCTTTTATCCCCCCGCTTTGCTCACTGCAAGAGCAGTCTCGTTCCTCTAAAGTATTTGATTACTCTAAAATGCTTCTATCCCACTGAGGTTTGTCTCACACGTGGTTTGTGAAGGAAAAGATTTGTTTAGCACATACTTTGGAATGGCACATATGACTTTGACACCTTCTAGAACTTAAAAAAAAAAAACATTTAAAATTATTAGAACCTGACGTTCTGTTCCGTTAATTACCGATTTTAGAAATAGAATATAAAAGTTATACTACAAAAATATTTAATCTCCATATCAATCAATGGCTGAAAGATTTAAAGACTTTCCTTGTAACAATAAAGTTATACTTCAGGAGGGGAGTGTGAGCCTTTAGTATATCTTCAGGAGTAATGCAAGCTCCAAGGTAAATATTTGGAGGTTGTACATCAAGAACCACGGGGAAAAGTCTTTCGACTTTACAAACAACTCCTGATTCGTGAAGGCAAAAAAATAATAATCATAAAACAGGAGAAGAAAAGCAGCAGCGAGGCTTGATTATCTAAGGAGAAGAACGTACAAAAATCAAGAGAAATTAAGACAGATACAACTCAAGAACTTCTACTAAAGCCAAACTAAACAGTTCAACAGAAATCGTTGAGAACCGTTTTTCCCCCTCCTGATCCCAAAAGAAAACACGCAAAGAGAAGCAAGAAACTTATCTTTTAGGGTGAATAAAGTACAATAAAACGTTGCACTTCCTACTTAAAGAGAACCTGCAGCTGGTTTGCTACGCATCTATAGCTGCAGGCTCATCAGGTTCCAGTTTATAGGAGAATCGTCTGCAGCAAAGGCTATTGAGAGAAATTCCACACCTGTTGACCCGGGTTGGACTACATCTTCCCATTAGTCGTTCCAGCATTCTTCTAATAGATGTGCATGCTGTTTCCCCATCTGAGAAGCAGCACATGGAGTCCATGCAGTTGATACTTGAACCTGTCTCAGTAAGCTGGAAAGATAAAAAGAAAAAAAATAAATCAGTATTTGCAGATTCTATCAATAAAGATGTCATCAGATATCACTCAGAAAAGGGAGGTTTTCATTAAGTTAGTGTTGATAATTTTTCAGTCTTACAGAAGTACTACAGCCATGTTCATGATTTCCCTTCCTAATGCCTAAATGCTAACATTTGATCTTCCCAACGTTCAAATGCAGTCTTGCTGAGCACGTGGAAATTCTTTAGCACCATCTCAGCTTAAAATGAAGAGAAACTGGTTAGCAATTCTCTGTATAGCTGTAATGAATCTCTGGAGTTTGAGCTGTCCAGCCTTGATTAGCCTCAGTAGAGGTACATCTTGTACAAACTTCAGGTCTACTCCTTTTTAAATATCTATCACGAGAAAGCTTCAGATCAAAGCTGCAAACAGTGCAGCAACATGATGGTAAGTGTTAACTATTCCTCAAGAAGTGCAGAATGCAACTTTCAGTAATAATTTATAGCCTAGCAGTTCCATAGGTACCCTCTTGGCTTGGTAAGAAAAGCAAATTCCTCATTTTGTGAATATCCTACATAAATACAAGTAAGACTGATGTTAAAAAGGCTTAGTCAGGCTCATGCTACTATGAGGAACTAGAGACTCAAACAAAATGAAAGAAATTACAGACACGGAGGAGTTTACAGAGGAGTGCATCTGTGAGTGCACTTCATTGTTCTTGAGCACCGGTCAATTGCAGCAGAACTAAAATTCAACTGAAATTTGGCACTGCTGGGCAGAGAATATCCCAAACTGACTGCATTACTCTTTTCAAAAAGAAATACAAAAGCAGCGTGTGGAGATTCTTTCTAACTTAACTTAAAGCTCCCCATGAGAGCATCCTGTCAATCAAATGCCAAACATGCAGGCTAAACTTAAGCATCTGTTACCCACACCTCACTCTCACAAACCCGTGAATGAGGAGAGCTGGGGAGAAGGCATCTATGGCAGAGCACAGCTCACTTTTAAGAACACCCCCCAACATTTTACCGTCTGACAAAACATCACTGTATGTCTGACTTTGGAAACCAAAGCCTCGATTTCTTTCACACCATCTGTACTTGCTTAATACTGGAGGAAAGCAAAGCACCTCAGTTTGATCTCAGAGAATAGTTTTTGCTAGGAGCACACACCTTCCTTCCTAACCCCCTAAAAAACAGGGGACCGATAGTGTTTTGTAACAGTTTCTATTTTAGAAAGCAGCAGCAGCCAAAAGAAAGAGAAGGCTTTTGGAAATCCAAGAGAAAAAAAAACAACTGTTAGCATGAGGTATGCTGGGGGGGGGGGGGCACACAAGCAGAAATGGGGCCACATGCATTGCTTCCTATACTTGCCCCTTCCTCAGCTCTGCTCTACATTCCCCAAGATCCTTCCAGAACCTTCTAGCCACACTGCTCAACGTTTGAAGGAAGGTCAGCTTCATCAACTTACAGAAAGCAACAAGGATTACAGACTGAAACCTTTGATGCAGTTGCTGTGTATCGGATGCCATGGACAAGAAGTGCAGTCAGAACTCCCACTCGTTCTGGAGGTCTTCTGGACACGTTAACATTTACTAAGACAATGAACTTCTGTAAACACCTGGGAGACAGGAGCATTGCAACTGACAGTTCTGAAGGGGGTTTTGATTAAAACAAGAATAAAACGAAGGGCTCACGTTCCTGAATTCCCTTATCTGACAACCATCACATCTATTCACAACTATACTGTCAAAGAAGATATCGTGATAAGGAACAGCATAATTTACAGCTGTGCAGTGAAAGCAAAAACGACCTTCACAGCAATTTCACAGTCACAGAGCATCCGACAATAAACTACATAGAGCAGAGGGAAGTCCTAGCAGAAGCAAGGAAGCAAGCTTCCTGCTGCACATACAGCCATCTGCACTTTGTGTATGCTGCAATGCAGAACAAATTCTCAACATCCCCTCCCCTAGGATTTCAGAAGTCCTGACACAGAGCAGTCCAAGATATCATTAAAAGATGGGCACGAGTTGGAACCAACTCGTTCTCAAGGAGTGAGCCTTCAGTTCTGGATTTTAGAGAAATGCTCACAGCTCCTCAGTAGAATCTCATTTGCTCTTCTCAAGTATTGAACACTGGGCTTTGAACAATCTGGTCTAGTGGGAGGTGTCCCTGCCTACAGCAGGGGGTTGGGAAGAGAGGACCCTAAAGGTCCCTTCCAACCCAAACCATTCTGTAATTCTGAGTTACCAACTAAAAGCTGGGATCATGCTTGAACCATGAGTTATGGAAAAGCTGTTGTTATCCTTTAAAAAAATAACAACTATGACCTTATATAGCCTTCACACATTTATCAAATTCACAGCTAAGTCTAAAATAACACAGGGCAAGCGTTAAGGACACATGAAAGTACATTCCATTTTATGTGTAGGTATGTTGTGTACCATTGTCTAGCAAGCATGGATTTTTATATTCATGCCCACAATACAGAAGGAAGATATATTATGGTAAAGACTCTCTTTTCTCACTTTCCTCTCTATGGCAGACAGTTACAATCATAGGTCTATATCCAAGTAAAACCAGGCATGGTGAGGCAGTAGAGCATAATAAATTTCCGAAGACCTGAAATGCACCCAGAGGAAATGAAAGGCAGGAGAGTCAAAGCTTACCAAATTAGAACTTGGAAAAATACCTGATATTTTTCACATTTGGGCTGGAAAAAAAGTGTTTTCATACATTAAGATTTGAGATCACAATAACATAATACTTTATATGATAATGGACTGTTTCATGTAATAAATAAAAAAGTTGAAATGCTGAATTAAAGAAAGATTTCATTTGAAAAGGAAAATCAAACGCACATATTGTGATGTAAATTTTCTTGTAGATATAAAAAATATGGGTATTTTGGAGATGGCTCTGTGACTGTCCACAGAATGATATATAAAAATAAATATACACACACAGTAGGGTAGAGTGGGAGTACTACCTAGTGAACGTAAGAACTGTCCTGTAGGCTAGATGGATCTAGCAGTTGCCTATTGTCCTCCCCTCTGTGCTTGCTTTCAGCAAAGTCACATGCTGAGCTGACTGAACCCTTATCTTCTTCCATCTAGAAGGATAGAAAAGCAACAAATCTTATAAAGAACCATGCTTGCATCGCTTTACAACAGTCACCATATTTATATAGCAACTTTGATTCTACAGATCTGTTCCTGAGAGAACAGAGCATATTTACACAGAAAAGGTAAATGTTTTTGAGTTAACTGGTAACTCAAACATAGGTTATCAGTGCACAAGTATTATAAAAAATTGGTATTTTTGTGCACCACAGACTACAGAAAGGGAAACACAACAAATCTGAAATCTATTTCAAATTTTCAAATTCTGGTTTCAGATTCAGGTTTAGATGTTTTCCTTTTCCAACAAAAAGGATCACTGCAGTTTGTCCATCTTATTGTTCTGTTTGCCACACAAGAGACATTTCAACTAAACATTTCATCACTCTGAAATACGCAGCTGGGACTGACTTAACAGGAAATACCTTTAGCCCTGTACATCAAGGTAAGAACACTGCAGGTTATCTTCCTGCTACTTGCTCCCAACACATTTGATGCCATACAGATGTTACAGAAGATACAGGGAGTGGCTACTGCTATTCCACAATTAAGCTGAAACTTAGTTCTCTATAGTAAAGCTCACTCTTATTTTTGTTTGTTTTTAACCCATAACATATTATGTACCCAAATATCAAACAATTAGAAAGCTTCAGGATTTTAAGAGAAAACGAGTAATGACATCCAACAACTTCACTGGCACTTCCGGTTTCAACATTTTTCTAGATTTACTACTCTTCACCTCTTTGGAAATAAGTCAATAAATTGGTATTTGTAAGCCTGCTTGATCCAAAGAATTACAAAAAAGTGTCTACATGAAGTACACATGTGACTGAAGATAAGTAAGAAATAATCTACTCTTTTTCATTCCTTCTTCCTATGAAAAGTTCTGTGGATTACCTCACAGACCAGCACCACCCCATGCTAACAATTCACAAACCTGTAAAGGAAAAGCTCACAGACTGTTCAAAGTACAGCAAATGAATGTGTTCTGAGATATTTCACTAGTGGGCACTTGCATAGGCTTCTCGGAAATTTTAAAGTGTTTTCTATAAGGAATATATAAAGAAACAGGAAACTTCCTGCTCTGATTTCTACACAGCTGGTCTGGATCAGATGCAACAGCTATTTGGAGAGAATTAATACACAATAGCAAGTAGAGAAAAAAAAAAAAACACCAGACAAGAAATGAAGGTCCTGAAGCTAGGGCAAGGAGTTACATCACAGACAACCAAAGCAAGCAGATCTATACAGAAACGGATGAAAAACATGGCAACAACAGAGTCACAGCAGGGCAGATGGGGAAAAACAGTCTTGGCTGTGCTACAGTAAATGCTAGTGTTTGAGAGCCCTAGAGAAAATGTTACGCACCAGTGGTTTCCCTAAAAAAAGCAAAACCTTGCCTGTGATTTTCATTTCCCTGGCATTTACTGTTGAAATGTAGAATGTAAAAACTCAATGAAGACAGTTAATTCCATCGGTGATTAGAATTAGAACATGCATCTGAGCAACATGTCTCACACATAGTGTAAGATTTCTGGCAGTTCTTATAAAGCACAGACACTGCACGTATACATTCACAATCCTCACACATCAACTTTGTTTATGAAGTGAAAAACAATATGAGATATAAAGGGGCCTACTTAATAGCCCAAAACAATATTTCACATGCTCCTAGAACTTCAACAGGGATGGCTACAGAGGCAAGAGGATTTTGCTGAAGAACTAGGCCATCAACCTCTGCTTAAGCACAAAGCCTGCACCTGAGTGTGCTGCCTCATCTCCTCTTCCTCCCACGCTACAGCAGTAACAGTACAGCTCACAGGTGTTTCACAGGCGTGCACAAGACTGCATTTCTGACTTACAGAAATCACACGGACGCTCAGCAGATCCTGCTTAAAGCACTTAACTTTGTGCACACCCGAGTGTTCTTACAAGCTCCTAACTTTTTCTCCAAATTTCCTATCCACGTAAAAATTGGTGATAGCATCACACATCTTAATTTTCGTCGGTAATCCTTCACTGTAGTGTTGGTAAATCACCACAACAGTAAGCACATATGCAAAATGAGGCATAAGTCAGTTAAACCTGGCACTATACTGAGGTTTTAAACAAGCAACACAACTACCAGAGTCTGTTTATCAATCCACGTGCAATCTGCAGCTAGAAAGGCTGCAATTACTGAGCAGACACATAACTGAGCTGTGACAATCAGCCATTTCCTACAACACTCAACTAAGCAGCTGCTTGGTTTCCCATTCCTACAGCTTTCCTTGCTTTCTGTGCTCCGCTGCTATTGGAAATGAGCTGCCTGGGACGCCACAGAAACTAAACCATCGTCTCCATCCCAAATTAGTTTTTACTTAGTCTAGTGAAGTGAGTGGTTTTTATCTATTAATTGGTTTTCCCATTAGGCAAGGATTCACAGAGTAGCTTCTGAACTTTATCTGGAGACTTTTAATAACAACTAGAGAAACCCGAGTCCTTGTTCTCTCTCTTTTCGCACGTTCTAATTCCACCTGGCAGTGTAGGACTCTGCTTGTATTTTAGGTACCCATATTAGATACTCAGTTTAAAAGTTCTTATACACGAGATAACTGGATTTATGTACTCATGGATGAAAAAAATTTTTTTTTCAACTCTTCCCTAAGGCAGTACAAAGAAGATGCCCTCATATTAGCAAGACATCACGTATTGCTAAATGGTAACTATGGTGCTGCATCCCTAGACAGCTCGACTTTTCCTTCACCATTTAGCTGCTTAACTCTTAAAATGTACTTCGTTTTGAAAAGTTTAACAGAATCTTTTGCTGAAAAACCATTGATGCAGACATCATTTACTTCAACAACCCAGAAAGAAAACAAGCTTACTGAAAATATATTTCATCCAAAGTTTTAAAATATAGATTATTTATGTTACACTGATAAACCAGGCATTTAAGAAGCTGACCTGTAAAAAAGGTTTTGCAGAGAAACCTCCAGAATATACTACTAAGTTTACTGATGTTGGAGAGGTGCTTATACTGCAGTTTTTGCTTCTCCTTTAAAGCTAGTAAGTGCTAGATTTAAAAACACTGCCTCCCTGGGGTGTTCAGCAACCTAAATGGTAGGATTCCTGTTGTGTTTCGCAGTGTGACATAACAGCTAAAACCTGTTAATAAACCATTTGAACAGAATGACCACTTCACATTTCTCCCAGGAAAGGCACAGTACGTTGAGGAAATAGAAAGCTTTTCTTTTTTATCCCTCTCCTTCTTTTAAAGGACTTTCATTGTTTCAGTTAACCATTGAAAGTACTCTTAAAACACATTCATCATTTCTTCTGCTTTTCCTTATTTAAGCAAATGGGAATGAATGCCCTGAAACCTGTGCCTGATTCTGCTAGCATCCATTTTCATGTTTTTAGACAATAGTCAGCTAAAAGCTATGTAAAAGAAACCAGTTCTCTGCATTACTTCTTAGCATAGAATAGAGACGTAGCTAAATGTCAGTAATAGAAACAGGTTCAGACATTACTGGTGTGTCAGGATGTTTCAGACTTAGAATCGTTTTTTGATCTGAATTCTGCAACACACATATGCTTTAATCTTTGCTCGAATAATTTCCTACCATTTTGTATACAAAGGTCTGAGAATATGTACCCGTAACACACAGAAAACAAACAACACTCGCTTTGTAAAGGCACAGAACACAAAAAGCCTTAGCTGCACAAGTGTATGTAGGCACCCAAACCAAAAACATTTTCTGCGCTTTCAATACAAGTGAAAGCAAATTAATATGGGCAAACAACTTGCACCAAACTGCTGCTTGCGATATATGGGCCTTCGTCGCAGGCTTATGAAGCTGAAATTATTCCGACATGCAAAAAGCACTGTTAATTTTGATCATGAAGAAATTAAAAGCATTGTAAACATGCTAGAAACTGTAATTATTTAAAAATGGATGCAAGAAGAGCTGGGTCTGTATTCTGAAAGTTGAGCATCATGCTAGGGATTTTTTTTCCTAAGAACAAAGCACGTCCAACATGCTACTTAAGAGAAGCATTTGGCTCAAAAACACAGAGCAAAGCCAAAAAATATACCAAATGTATCTGCGCTATATAGATATACTGCCCTCTCAACCCGCTAACATTCATGCCTCTTTCCGTCTCTCTCAGCACTGTTAGTTCACCTTCAGCATGCATAAGAGTTGATGAGGAACTGTCCCTCCTACTCTACCTAATTTTGCTCAGCTGATTCCTTGCCCTGGACAATGGCTGCAGTGCGATGAACTCGTCACTTAAAGCAACTCTGTTGGAGTACATCTACAATTGGACAGAGAAGGGATGGAACATACATGTCAGTCAGTAGCAGTAGTAATTTTCTAAGAAAAAGACACAGGACAAGACATTGTTATTTAAGTGGAACACACGTTATATACAGAAACACACACCTGGTACCTTGAGGACAACTCCCAGAATCATCACAGCCAGATATTTTTGGGAGGATCGTACTTAAGTGCACCTTAGCTTTCATTCTAAGCCTATAAACTTACATGACTATACTTTACCTGGAATCCTTATTCAGTATTACCTTCTCTCCTTAATAGGGCTGTGATTTTACATTTACCCCAAGATTTACATTTTGATTCAGACTGTCCTTACTGTCCACTTCCTCCTACTTGCTATAGTCAGAAAAGAACAGAACTGTAGTCAGATGTTACCCAGAATGGGGTAACAGACCAAAGGGCAACATATCAAAGTCAAACATAATATGATGGATTATCTTTAAGGTTATTTAAAAAAAAAGAAAAAAAGGGACACATTTAAAACAAACAAATCAACAGTAAAAAAAACATCCCCACCCCTCACATCCCCAGTAAAAACCAAAACAAAGAACAAAAACCCACAGACCACACAATCAAACTGAGCCCACTGGGAAAGGCAGAACTCATGAATCCCATCCTGCTACAGAAGTCAACTCACGCTAAGCCTACAAGAGGCACTGATTTTTTTCTTAAAATCACTGTAACACAGAACAATAACTGCATTTAATTAAATTTATCAAATGTTTCTGGCTTAGTTCACTTAAATTTCTTTATGTCACAGTCAAAATAACTGCAGTGGAAACAAACTGAACCTGTAATTTTTTTTAGAATAGACCCAGAAGGTAAGAGAATGCAGAAATAAGTACATGGATAAGGTTAGGGGGGAAAAAAAAAACAAGAACAGCTGATGCACAGGAAGGAAACAGCAAGTGTTCAGTACGTTGCTGTAAGTTCTGGTTGTTTGTTTGGGGGAGAAGGGTGGGAGATGACACAAGGGGCAAGATATGTAATTAGCCATGTTCTCCTAAATCAAACATGCAACTAAGAGTCTTAGCAGGTCTATCTGAGCAGTTCTCAAAAAAAATCGTGGTTCTTTATCTCAGATTTGAGCTATTAAATTCCTTGAGTGGAACAAGCAGCTAGTATTCCAGCTCTGAAAAAGGATTAATGGGATATTTGGCTAGCTGCATGAGAATGCCTCAGGTGGATGTTTCTGAACACAAATTAGCAGGGCAAAGTAATTTAAGAAAATCAACATACACTTACATCAAAGTAATTTAAAGGTTTGATGCTAAAGTTAGCAGCGCTGATGTAACGCAGTGATAAGTGCTCCATGATACACAGCTCAATGTAACTTACATTAAAGCAAATAGGACTTCACAATGACCAATATGGCACACATTAAACAGCCTAAAACCTAAAAACTGATTCCAGAACAGAACAGGATGCTTTTTGGTAAGATTCCTATGCTATCTGACCTCTCAGTGATGACATGGAAGAAAAGAGTAAAAAAGATGCCAAAGATAACAGGTTATCATACATCATTTAGTAAGCTGAATGCAGCTGAGGGACTCATCATTTCCATACTTGGCACTGACATATGTAGTGATGGAAAGTAAATTGGGTTTTTTTCACCCCTCAAAAAGATTCAAGATCAATCCATACCAGAGAGCAAATTACCTTGATCACAAACATAAGTGTGAATAAACAAACAAAATTAACTGAAGAACTTTCAGATTATCAGAAAAATTCAGATTATGCTGAAAAATAAAAATAATACAAAAGGAATATGCTGAAAAATAAAACAGAGAGATTAACTATGACAACAACTATGGGTTAAGATGACTTCTTAACTGCACTGCCACTAAACAGAAGAAAACACTGAAATATGGATGAGAATTCTACCTAAAAGAGAGCCTAACTTTAACAGGAATGATTCTGGGGAGCTTTTATGGCCTGTGTTGGCAAGAGGAAGATTCTGTTATCACAGACTCTCTTTAGGCCTCATTGATTAATTTATGAAAATGCCACATTGGTAATTACCTCTAATCAGCAACAAAATACGTGTTATCTACGGTATGATATGGTGAGAAATACTCATTAAAACAAGTTCTACTAAAGTAACATTTAAAATTATTCTTTCCATCAATATCTTAAAAACTAATCAATATCAATTACATTTGAAGAGAACTTCTAATACGTTTACAAAAATAAGTTATCTTTAAAGCTGAGCAAGAAAGTTCCTAATCCTCCTACACAGCTGCAAATCAACATGTAAAAGGCTGAGTGACCCCTCTCTAAGTGTTTGCTACTGTTAATGCATTGCTTACTTAAGCTTTTAACTCATTCCCATAAAACTGTGTCCTTAGTTCAGTAATTCTAAATTAAAATTAATCTTCTGAAACGGGAACACTCACCTGTACGTTAAAAGATGACAGCAATGTAAGGGGATACTAAAATATCACAGGAAGGCAATGAGCGTACAAGACAGATTTTAACATGTGTTTTTTTAACATGCTGATCAAGTTGGATATAAAAGCATAATGTTACCTGAGCTTTTTCAGTACTTGTCGGTTGTAGATGCCTGTACAGCACTTTCTTCACAACATCAAGAAACAGACAAGCAACTACTATGAGTATTATGGCAAACCAAGCAGAACCACTTGACAACAGCTGAACAAATACAAAGTACATATCCTGGGTATGTAAAAATGGCCTGAGAAGTTAAAAGAAATGGATATTACTAAAAGGAACTTCCAGAAACCAAGTACAGTACAGATGGACAAGCAGTAAGTCTTTAAGATACAAACTAAAACTGTATACTGCCCAAGGAGATTAGCAATTTCTTGGACTTGATCTGCAAAAGAACACTGGTAAAAGAGGGAACAGAACTTTGGAGGAAAGTGACCTCCAAGACCCCAAAATTCAAGTATAATAAAAATATATTACTGCACTGATTCAAATATCAGCACCCTAATTTTTGTTGCAAGCATTCACCTGTTACACAGAACCTTTAGGAATTCTATGTGCTTTTTACAAATAAAAACACCTTAATAATCACAGGCTGTCAGAGACAATTCCCTCCCTAAGCACGACAGCTTAAGCAGCATGGCTGCCATTTCTAAAAGAATCACCAAAAGTAACTGGTCTCTGTAGGTTTAGAAATTTGTTTTTCAACACCTACCATAAAATTCAGAGCAACGCAATAGAACATTAAAGTATTATGTTCTTTCATGACTTCACTCATGACCTCATTGCACTTTACAACTTCACAACTTCCTGAAGGGAGGTTGTGATGAAAAAGGGTCTGGCCTCTTCTCCCAGGCAAATAGTAGGACCCCGAGGAAATGGCCAGTTGTACCAGAGGAGGTTTAGGTTGAACACTAGGAGAAACTTTTTCTCTCAGAGGGTGGTCAGGCACTGGAATGGCTGCCCAGGGAGGTGGTGGAGTTGCCGTCCCTGGCAGCGTTCGAGAGGCGCCTGGATGAGGAGCTATGAGATGTGGTTTAGTAGCTTGTGGTACCGATAGGAATGGGAGGGTGATTGGACTGGATGATCTTGCAGGTCATTTCCAACCTTGCGACTCTATGATTCTATACTTATCACGTATTTAGAGGGGAAAAAGAAAATCACTCACCAGATAATTCCCCCATAAAATAAGGAGAATATGAAATAAAACACAATGGAACCCCAAGTAACAAAATGGTTTATCCATGTCCAGAAGTGCGTTTCCAGCGCCATCTGAAAGAATGAGAACTTCAATTAATTTCCTTATTCCCCCCACCTTACAGAAAATGACAAATGCTGGTCTGAACTCATTTGAATGTGCTACGAACCATACTTGTGCTACAACTAAGTATTTTTCTAACACATACAAGAGAAGGGAGTACAGCAACATACCTTCATCGTAACGGTTATAACCATAACGGTGAAGACTAAAGTACCAAATGTCCAGTTTCCAAACATCTAAGAAAACAGCAAGGTAAAAAGTCAAGGAAAAAAGATGAGCTAACAGCATCAATGGTTAAGTTAGATTTTTCTCAAATCAGCTACACTTATGTAACAAAACCATGGACAAAAGCTTGTGATTTTACTAATTATGAAAAACTAAGAAGGATGCAACACAGAGTACTACAAAAAACTAGCTTATGATAAGAGCAAAATTAACAATCCACATCATCTTCCTTCCTGGTTCAAAACAGATCACCAAAAGCCTACATGAACGATGAAGTAAAACCAAAACAGTTACATGAAATGGTAGGATAAAGATACCAAATTGATTGATTTAATGTAAGCATCTGAACAGAAACAAATACTGGGTAGCAGGTATTCGCTTCAACACAAGTGCAAAACACTTGGATTTAAATAAACATTTTCAGACAGTTTTATGCAGCATCACCTGACAGTCCACATTTTTCCCAAGCAAATTTGTACAATTCAAAAATAATGGTGCCATTCTATTTTTTTTCAAAGAAAAAGACACTTTCATAAAGACACTTTGTTTCAAGGCTAATGAACACAAAATTCTAAGACGCTGTCACTTTTGTATTCTGCTGCCCACATACATTAAACATCAAAACTCTGAACAAGTTCTACAACAACAAAATCTCAGCTCTGACACCAAGCAGGGGATGTGGAGTTTGTCATCCATCTACCCACATGCTGCTCAGATGCACACTGCCATTCTACACAGGACCAGCTGCTGTGCTTTTGCAAGCAGTCTTGGTGCTGAATCCACAGTTTGCTTTTTTCGTAGCTACTTTTATCACTGATACACTGGAAACAGACAAACTCTCAACCTCAGTATTGGTAAATACCAGCAGCAACCTAAGCAAGCAAGGACACAGGGACCACATGCAGACAGGCAATCAAAATCATCCCAGATTTGATTGGTCAGTGCAGCACAGGATCATGAAACAAGGATTGGCACGGTTGTAGTCCTTGTTACAGAGCTCTGACAAAGACATATCTATATATCCCAGCAATCTAATCACAGGTCTTACAACTGCTTTTGCCAACTTCATACACAGGAAAAAGTTAAGTCAGACCTTGGTGTGAAAAGTAAATATGAAGCATTTTACAGCATGCTTGCTACTAACTGTTGCAACGATAATCTTGAAATAAAATTAGACCGCTGCTTCTGAATGACCTGTGAAAGAAAGTGTCTTTGCTGACACTGCTCTAAAAAGGTCACAGAGTTAAAATGCAAACTGCGAACGGATTCTTGCCACCATTTTATTTTTGAACACTTTTACACTGTGGATGCTGCATCCTTTAATCCTGTGAAGTAACAGATACAATATTTTGTATCTCCTCCTCTTCTGAACTCTTACCATTTGCCTGTTAGGTTTCAATATCTGACGACATGCACAGCATGGAAAAGGGGGGAGAAAAAAAGAACTAAAAGATCAAATTGTTGCAAGATGTGCTGATGAAAGTCTAACATAAACGACCACCATTAGCAAACTATGTACAATCTCTCCCATTGTGTTTGGCTCCAAATTGGGAATTCAGAATGAAAAAATGAAGCTACTGCTGGATTACTGCCTTGCACTGACTCTGTAGTTTATCACACGTGTGAAGTGATGATTTCTTGAAGAAAGCACTTCAGCAGCATGCAGGATTCTCTCACCCTTAACTGCCTCTTCATTTTAGTCACTCAGTTTCTGACCATTGTCCATCATCAGATGGAAATTATCTTTCCTGCTAAACTTTCTAGGCTCAGTCCTATGACCAAAGCAAAGACAGCAAAATAATCTTTTCAAACCAAGTGCCGTAACTTGCAGTTCTACCAATGACTGCACATGAATGAACACACAACTCATTTCAGCACTAAGAACAGCATAAGGAGGAAAACAAATATCTTTTTGGATTGTTACTCCTAACAGTATTTCGAAGAAGCCAGAATCTGATTGTTCTAGCCTGGGCTAATGAACTGGAGAAATGAAGCAGCAGATTTACAATGGTTTCATTTAAAGTTTTACTGGGTTTCATTTTGTTTGCTTTTGGCTCGTTGTTTGTTTTTTTAACATGACTTTTCCTCTCAACTTTCATATCATTTAAAAAAAAAAAAAAAAAAAAAAAGGGATCAATTTTAGAATTTGGTTTCATTAAGTTAGTTCTTGTCTTTATTCAACTAAAAACATTATTTAATAGCAACTTACATCATCTACATGTATGTATACTTTAAATCCATTTACACAACGCATTTTCAGGAGATTTAACACAGGCTGAAATCTGCAAATGGACAAGTTCTATAACAGAAAACCAAATATCACCAAAGGATACAGTGATGGAAAAATCTAATGACAATTTACCTGGCCATTTCCCAGCAATGAAGTGTCTTCTCCCATTAGAAGATACGAACCATAGAAGAAAACAAATGCATGCAAGAAGCCCAAGATGGTCCAGTAAAGAAATGGTTTATACCCAAGATGAGCATTTTTACTGATGTCTCTGCAAAAATGAGTAAATTTTGGATGTTAGACTGTCCACATATACTCCATCAGCTATTTTTACTACATGACTATTATTGCCTAGAATAAACGTAACATTCAACTGCAACAAGATATGTTTAATGAATGCAGACTTACAAAAAAAAAGTAAATCATGGGCAAAAAGGAACTCAGAACTGCCTTTGCTTATGCAGAGATCACCAATGGCAATTGTGTTTTATGAGTCAAATCAAAATTAACACACACCAGAAATCCTCTCCCATAGAGACAGAATTGCTAGAAGAAATACTCAGATCTCCTGATACTTGCCCACTGTTCTGTTTAGAAGAGCTTCAACTAAACTAAAGTAGTAAACTAAGTGACGCCTCTTTCACAAAAATGATGTACTTCTCCACAAGCAGTATGCAGTACAACATGCTACCACTGGGAGGATACCTAATTCTACAGGAAATAGCTACCCCTCTTAAAAAAGCATTTTGCAGTGATTCCTCAACCACTGTGGAGAAGAAGTCTACCAATCATGTACCCAAGTCCCTCCCAGACTTAACATAACTGACATAAAAACATGCTTCTCTTAAAACACTACTTTTAATTAACACTTGGGATGAAAACTATGAGCTAAGTAACCATCCTTCCTTGAGGACAGTTACCAAAAATGGCATAAACTACAGATAGAAATACTGTAGGAATGCACAGTAGCAAGTTCAGACTTTCTGCAGATGCCACTGTTGTGAATGATGTACTGCTGCTGCTGCAATGTGTGTAGGACGTACGTACCGATAAAGCACAGGTTTACTCTGCAATACATGCGGATGCACATGCTGTTCAAAAAGACTGTAGATGAGGACAGGCAAGGAAGTGAAACAAATATTATACAAAGTCAGGTATACACTGTCATAGAGGGTCTGAAAATGGAAATAAAGGTTATTTTGAGATTTGAAGAAAAAAGTTGCTTACATTTACTAAAAGTCAAGAGCCACAACATCATTAATTCATGTGAATTTACTAACAGGAAAACAAGCTATATTTACATAACAATCTAGTAACATCAAGTTCTCAAACTGTAAAAAATAAGCTGGATATTTGTTGAGTATTAGACCTGTGAATCAATAAAGCTCCTTGTAATCAATCTTTTCCATGAAGAAATTTGTCAACAGCATGAGAAAACCATACAGAAGGACTTGAAACTTTAAAACCTTCTTGAAGTACTCTCAAAGTATGCAGAATGGCTACAAGGAAGTTGCAATATGGTATACGGGAAATTTTTAGAATTAACAGCACCAAATATTTATGTTTACAGTGAAGCAAAGAACTCTTTTCTACTCCTTCAGAAAACAGGTGAATAGAAGAGTTACATGCATCAGAAATAGTTATATATAATCATCCATATAATTATGTTTCAGTACAGGAAATGGACCCAGCAGTTGGTCAATCAAGCTTGAAAAATACAGGCAAAAGTAACAAACTTCACTACTGATTTATGATTTTTTCTGAAGGAGAAGAAACAGTAGCCATTTACTTTATTTTGACAGTCATATTAGCAAGTAGACTTGACAAAAAGCTCCTACAGAGTCACATTTTAAAAAAATTGTACAAGTGAAATTTCTTCCATATGAGTTCCCAACCATTGGGCATAATAAAACAGATATTAAAAACAATCAAACTGAAAATATATTTCTTCCCAAAGAGGGAAAGACTATTTCATTGTTTTCCTTCCAATTTCCTTAATTAACGTACACCTTTAACTAGCTATACAACATCCAGTAGCATCCAATACTTACCTGTTGTGAAAACAAACAGAAGAACTGATATAAAAATTGTGGTGTAATAAAGCACACATTCTGAAAAACAAGAAGTGAGGCAAACAATTAATCCTCCAATATAGAAGACCTTGTAATCTCAAAAAGAAAATGCTAACTTTGGCAAGCTAGTAAAAATACAGCTAGAAAACAAATATGTGCCTTGGTGGCTAACGCAAGAATTCTAGACAAACAGTATCAAATCCTGAAACCAGGTGAACTCATCAAGGTACTTAATACTTCCACTAGAAAGAGGTTTTAAGCAATTGCTATGTTAAAAACTCATATTTGGTTGAAGAAACATACATGAGTGAAAACATGCATGAACAGAGGTATTACAACTGTACCCAAAAATGTTACATCTAGACAACCGAGACACAAATAGCATTAATGCACTGATACAGACATGGGGAAAACGGCGGAAGCATTGAGCAAAGAAAGATCTGAATGTAAAGTTTACATAGGAACTTAGGAATTGGCAATGACTGTAATAAGAGATAGGCAATTCCAATAAACAAATTTATTGCTGGGAAACAGATACACTTTTTTTTTTTTTATGAACTTCACAGGCACACAGTCAGACAACTTACCTTATAAAAAAAGTACTGTACAAGGGTTGCTATTCTAATATAGTAAAAGTGCCCGTGAACAAACAGCAACTTGGAGAGGAATTTAAATCGTGCTATTGCATAGTCACTATTTCTTACAGCCTGTCTTCCTTCCTTGCCCATGATTCCTGTAATATTTGTGAAACAAGGAAGAGGTTAAACATTATCAAAATGATATACGTATTTAAAACATCAACGACTTACATCTATATACACCTAATCAACACCTAACATATATATAAAGCCATTGTTATGTTCTTTCACATTTTAACGTTAAGATTCCAATAAGCATAAAAACAAAAGCATTATTCATGACACATCTGAGGGAAAATGCTTGCTTAACATACGAACAAAACCAAGACAGAATTTGTGATAGGTATTAATTCAGATATTCATGTTTCTTCATATTGAATTACACAACACGGCAGAAAAGGTTAAAGAAGGCTCAAAGCAGATTATAGAAAACAATGTTAATGGAGAATTCTGCTGAAAAAAAAAATCAGTAACAACTTCCCCAGTGACACAATGCAAGCCTTTACCTCAAAGACAACCCAGACACAAATAGTATTAATGCAATGATACAGACATGGTGAAAATGGCAGAAGCATTGAGCAAAGAAAGATCTGAATGTAAAGTTTACACAGGAACTTAGGAATTGGCAATGACTGTAATAAGAGGCACCCAATTCCAATAAACAAAGCAGAGAACTTCTGAGATTCCGGTTAAAGAGAATCTCTGTTCTTAAGACAATATTTAGCATGACCTCTGAATATCCATAGACTTCACAATAAACCTAAGACTTCAAAAAGCAAACAACCTGGAATTTCAAATTTCAGCAAACTTCTGCTACAACAGGTGACTCAAGTTCACATTCGACTCTTCACAGATGCAGAAGTGTCAGAAGTTTATCTGTTCATAAACACTATCCACCAAACATTCTACTAAAAATTTTCACCTTGTTTGCCTTTATCTCTTTAAACAGCAGTAATTTACCTATGCCAACATGTGCTTCTTGTATCATGCTCACATCATTAGCACCATCACCAATTGCTAATGTTATAGGTTTTTCCGGAGATGTTTTTAACAGTCTCACTACCTGGGGAAAAAAAAAAAAAAAAAAAAAAAAGCAGTAACTTTTATAACCATACAGTCTTTCTACAAACTGTGCTGTACATCTTTGATAGTTACCTACCTGTATGTGTAATTACCTCATTTTACGAATGGACACACATGGGTAAGAAACATCTCTGGCTAATTCATTTCCTCTTTAGAAAAGCTGCTCGCTTTTGGCTGCAAGTCTTACTTAAGTATTAACCTGGCTTTAGCTTATTTTGCGTAATGCACTGCCCCCACATTTAGCCGTTCTTTCACAGCTTCCTCATAGAATTGAGCTGGAAGGGACCTTTAAAGGTCACCCAGTCAAACTCTCCTGCAATGAACAGGGACACCTACAGCTGTATCAGGCTGCTCAGAGCACGGTCCACCCTGACACTGAATGTCTGCAAGGATGGGGCTTCTACCATCAATCTGGGCAACCTGTTCCTGTGCCCCACCACCCTTACTGTAAAAAACCTCTTCCTCACACCCAATCTAAATCTCTCCTCTTTTCGTTTAAAACCATTTCCCCTTGTCCTATCACAACAGACCCTGCTAAGGAGTCTGCCCCATCCTTCTTATGGTCTCCCTTCAGATACCAAAAGGCCACTATCAGGTCTCCCTGGAGCCTGCTGCTTTAACTTGCAAATCAAGCCAAAAGTTAGAATGGAAAACTTAGGGAGTAATCCAGTATTTAAACCCCTTCATCAGACCTGGCTAGATTCTTCTAATTTTCAATGTTATAAGCAGTAAAGGCCACAAAGGAAACTCTGACCTGATGGATTTAAATGTTTAATTATCATTGTTTTACTTCCCTGAGCAGATGAACTACCAATAGGAGGTTATAGTTCTGCTCCCCATTATTCTACACTGAATAAGAAACAAGTAAGAGAGGAGTAAGAAAAAGGGCCCAAACAGTACATTAACCAGCAGAAAAAAGAAACTTGGTGCAAGGATGGAGAGGGTTTAACCAAGCCACATTCATTCAAGTTGAAATTCCTTACATATAAAAAGAGATGCATCTCCATGGATTCAATTGCAAGAGGTCAGAATGCAAACATTTTACTAGAGCAACAGAACACCTGATGAACTCATGAGACGATGCCAGAGCACTTCTTTGAAACATACTTACCTATGGAAAGTACCATATTTTCCTTCCAGAAAAGATTCAGATTAGATGTCAGGGGAAGTTTCTAACAGAGAGAGTGTGAGGTGCTGGAACAGGCTGCCCAGAGAGGTTGTGGACGCCCCGTCCCTGGACTGTTCAAGGCCATGCTGTATGGGGCCCCAGGAAACAAGATCTACCACTTGATCTAGCGGTCAGCAACCCTGCCCATGGCAGAGGGTTGGAACTAGGTGATTTGAAGTCCCTTACAATCCCAGACATTCTATGCTTTTATGATTTTATGTTTCAAAGGGCATCAGAGACATAAAAAAAATACAAAAATATAAACAAGAGTAGTGAGACTATGGGCCATATACTGACAAGCAGTAAAATTAAAGAAAAAGATTAAGTAAATACAAATCTGCATTCCATCTTAGCCCTGGAATAAGTTTCATAAAGTATGTCTAAGGTAGAAAACCAACACAAAGCTAGAACAAACTGTCACAAACTTCTTCCCTCACTCAGCCTTCCCATTTTGAATGGTATAATGAAATAGGCAACACAAAACTATGTATGCTATGAAGATAATTACCACCTTATAAAACACAAGAGAGGCTTACTAAAGATTAGCTTTTTTATTCGACCCCACTGTGGCAGTACTTTGATTCCTTCCCCCACGTAATTCTGAATTTTCACAAATACACATACGAACTTCTGAGCAAACTACTCCAATTGAATTGAAAAGAGTCAAAAGTCACGTAAAAGGCAAGACAACCAGAAACAAACTATCTCCAGAAATGCCAGAAATGCTAAGACAGCAAGATAAAAGTACTTACAAGACAATACTGACTATATCCATACTTACCTTTGCTTTCTGAAGCGGTGCCATACGACAACACAACACCGCAGAACAGCTTTTACAAACTTCCATGAACAGTTTTTCATGTTCCCTGAGTGCAAGAGAGAGGCTGGTCCCATCCACTACCAGACCATGCTGGATAACATGGTCTTCTTTTATTCTGTTGAGACAAAAATGTTGATTTTGTAGTGATGTGAAGGAAAACTTTGAGTTTTGTTACAAACTATGCAGTTGCCCATACAATACGTAAAGAAGTTAACCTGTTAGACTCCTTTTTCAAGTTAAAGGGGAGGGAGGAAGGGGAATGGAAAGGAAACAAACAGAAAAAAAACCCAACATTTATTAGGGACATAAAATTATAACCATAAAATTTTAAAATGAAAGAAAATCAAGGACATTGCTGAGTTAATGACATCATGGATTTTTACCTCTTGGCTAGCTGCCTCAGCTGCTCTGCGCATGTACTGTCTGATTTGTGCTGTACAAGTTCAAGGATGTTCATGGTTCTATGAAAGTGTCCACATGATAAACTGACACTAACAGCCGTTTCATGCTTATCTCCAGTCAGAACCCACACTTTGATACCAGCCAATCTGAGCGCTTCTATAGTTTCTTGGACTTTCTCCTGCAGTCTACAAATGAGAAAATCTTAGCTAACCAAACACTTTAGAGAAAAAAGAACGCATTCTGTAACATCATGATGATTTAAGACTGCATTTCAAGTACGTATTTTCAAGAACTATAGTTTAGTAATGACATTCAGTTATGAGCAAAAGATTTCATGAAGTTAAAGCTGAATTTCAATAACACTATGGCAATTAAAAATTCCTAATAAGCACATCTCAATTTAAATTAAGCACTATCATTGCATTTGAAAAGCTTTTAAACTGTTTGTCACGAATACTAACTAATGTGGTGCATGAAAAGATCTGAAGTGCTCCATCTGTACATTCTAACAGATAATACACACTCTAACTTACAAACATTCTGCTTGCATATTGCATGCTCTGTATATTAGCTACATATGTAAGTTTTCACAAGGAATTAGCTATCAAGTTTAACGTTTACTAAATTATATGAGGGATATGGTTTAGTGAGAACTACTGGTGATAGGTAGATGCTTGGATTGGATGATCTGCAAGTCTTTTCCAACCTTGGTGTTTCTGCGGTTCTGAGATTGTGATTCTATTCCAATTTTGTTTTAAATTTCTCCCAATTGTTCCAATTTTGCATTAAATGTCTCCTAATAAAGCTCACTATGTCACTGTTACATTGCCAAAATCAGTTTGTACAACATATGTTTTCAGTGTTCCTTAACTCAAAAAGGAGGTAAACTAAACAAAAATAGCACAGAACTTCTGGCAGTGGCAGGACATCTTCCAGTGGCACGCATCATAATACAGCTACAGATCCTAAACTTGCTGTGTTTCTGAACATAGCTTGCAAAACGTCAATTACATACTTGTCTTCTACTCCAGTAGCCCCAAGCAGTTCCAGATCCCTTTCTATGAAGTTGAATACATCTGCTAATTTTTCTTCCCGCTGTTGTAAGGCAGTCCTGGCCTCATGAAGGCGTTTGCCAATTTCCTGGTATTCCTCTGGTGTGAACCTTCTGTATGCCACGCACAAAGTTCGTAGTCCTTTCTATGAGAAAACAGAAGACTACTAATTCAGACTAGACTAGATTTTGGTCTAACAAGGCATCAACTGCAACTCGTTCAAGTCACAGAGCCTGTACCAGAAGAACCAGAAAAATCAGCTGGGCAGGATGACTACACTTACCAAAGCAAATTCATCAACATGTATCCTTGTTTTGTCTATCTCTCCACTCTTACTACGAGGAAGAATGGAAGATTCTGCTCCCTTTGTGAATAAAAGCTTTTCCCCTAAAAAGGAAAACAGGATAGAAATTAAGAATATATTTATTACTTCAGAAGCTCTCAATTGTAACTTCTGATCACTTACCCGAGGGACTCTCTACAATGACGCTCATTCGTCTGCGATTTGGATCAAACTCCAAAACATGAAGCAACTTGTACCTTTATTTTGTGTTTTAACAGAAGAGAACACAGTTTTAGAAATAAATTTCCAAATGCAATTGCTTACAACTGCAAATGCACACTTATCCCCAGAGCTAATCCCCAAATGTCATTTTTATATTGAAACTTCACAATATTTCATTGAGCAACAATCACTGTTATCTGCATTTCTGCAATTAGTTGTTTTTCATTACTTTGTATATATCTATGTACATGAAAGGTGTTATGACATGCTGCAGATACACAGTAATTTTGGGAAAGATGTAACTGGATTATGCATGTGTGAGACTTGCTAGCAGAGCTGATTCCGGGAGTTTCTAGAGCTGAAAGCACAAATCATGGAAACTGAATAAGCATCCCAATTCCTTTATGTATTTGTAACTCTACTAGAGTCTCACTTTTGAAGAACGGTCAAAGATGCAAACCATTACAATATACAATTACACAGACAACTCTCACACAAAGTTCTTGCATCTCAATTTGAACTCTTAAGGACTATGATGCAAGCTGTCTCGAATACGTTAAGTCATTCTTACAAGAACAAAGGGTTTTTATTTGTTTGTTGGTTTTTGTTTTTTTTTTTTTTAAATGAAAATACCTTTCTGGTTTTCCAAGACTTTTTACTTCCATACTGTCCCCACTAGTTCCCATAAATACTACTCCAACCCTAAAAGTAGAAGAAAATAGATATTTATTCAATGCTGTGGAACTGTACATGTAATGCCTCCTGGACGCTAAATGGAAAAAACCAAAACACTTCATACAGTTCTTCAAAAACAACACAATGCATTCACTGCCATTTCAAAAGGATTTCCCTAAACATTTCTAATTCTACATCACAACATCCCTAGGCTTCTATGCATTATGTTTTTGAATGTTTTCATAATAAATTGATGGCAACAGGCCTCAGGCTTTAACATTTCTCAGAGAAATATTTTAAGATTGTTCTTGATACAAATTCCTTGCCCTAAAAGGCAATTTCTGCAGCACGTAAATTTGGCTTAAACCTCACCGGCTTGCAGCTTCAACTAAAGCTTTCTCATCTGGTGAAGAAGCATAATACTCCAATGGGGATGCTATTCCATTGGCATGCCAGGGCCCATCGGCACCATCCGTTTGGTCTGCACTGATCTGTACTGTATGACAAAGGCAAACTGCTTTCAAGAAGAGTTCTTCCTCTTTCATCTGTAATAAAGAAGAACCATGATTTGTAACATTTAGATATCAACCCACTTTTGTACATACTTTGAAGTCAAATATTCCACGTAAAATGATCTCAACTATTCAATAAATATTTTTTGTTCAGTAACACTTAATAGCTTCAAACTACTCTGAAATCCAGATTTTTTAATTTAATGCTAATACCAGAAGGATTTTCTGTCCCCAACATAAACACTACCTAAGATGCCTAATGGTGAGGGGAAAAAAAAATAGGAGTCTTACCAAAGTATGCCTATTTCCATCTGGAGAATCTTCAGAAAACCCCTCTGGAGTCAGTTGACCATTGACCTCCTGGTACTTTATGCCGTTAATGGAGCACTCCCGAAACTGCATCTCATTTTCAGTTAACGTACCGGTTTTGTCTGTAAACACATACTCTACCTTTTGGAAAATAAAAACAAACAAATAAATAAAACAGATGTGGAGTAACATTTTTTTTTTTTTTTAATCAGGAAAAAACAAAACAAAACAACACAATGAATAAAAACCCTCAACTTAGTTCACCCACTTCATTACCCACCTTTTTTGATCATGAAATAATTCCAATTTTGACCATAAAATCACAAGCTTGAATCTTATTTTCAACTAATCAGATATCAAAGCACTATCAATAAAAAAGTCTGTAATAGTAAGCTTGACTATTGAAAAAGAAGTAGAAATGAAGTTAAATAGAATTTCTACCTGTCCAAGTTCCTCATTGAGGTCTGAAGTATTTACTTGAGCTCTCTGATTTGTCTCTTCATGATAGAGGTCAAGATCCCAGCCAATAAAAAAAGATCCAAGAAACTTCTGCATCTCAACAGTTACATAAAGTGAAATGGGTATAATAAAATTGTAAAGTACCAGAAAAGCAAGGAAATCTGAAATAAATCTCAGGATCTATGAGAGAAAAGAAAAAAATATAAAGATTAATGCAGTGATCAGGTCAAGCATGGCTGACTAGTTTTGGGGTTTTTGTCCAAATATGTGCGGAAAAAAAAATGTATGCAAGAGCAAGAGGAGACCAAATTCCTTGCTTAAATGAAATGGAATAAATATATAGCCCATTTTCTTCTGATACAAAAACATTCCAGAGGCTACTATAATTTATACAGCAGTTACTTCACATTAAGAAGAGGTTAAAAAAAAAAGTTACTGTGATCAACTGACCACTTCAACAATGGAAAGTGCTGTAAGTGGTTGCAGGGACTAAAAAGAAAAGTCACTCAACAATTTGAAAATTTGTGAATTTCTTAACTACTCCTCAACACTGACACCTGTAGATAAGGCCATTTTAGAATACTGAAAAGTTTGTGATAGCTGTACTGACAACCAGAACTAATCACTTAAAGAACACTTGGTATTGAGATATTTTCCCATTTGAACTACAAAGATAGTTCCCATTACACGTTTGAGGAAGCTCTCTGCTCTCATGGATGCTGGCACATTTTTAACCTGGAAGAATCAAAGAAATTCTCCAAGTCTTTCTATTCTCCTCTCCAAACAATTATGTACTAACTTTAATTTTTGCTCTGCTTATGAAACAGAACAGAGCTTTCTAATTTGGGATTCGAACCTTTAAATGCAAAAGGCAACTGGTGAGCAGATTCAATTCTCAACTCTATGGGAGACAAAAGGAGTGTTAAATGCCTAGCACCATGTCATGTGTGGAAACTGGACTTCTAACACTTCTGTGATATAAGAATGCCCTCTACTTCTTAGAATCAGCTCCAGTCGTCAGCTTCTAAACTGCTTTGGAATATGCCAGACTCACACAGAAATCAGAAATCAAACAGAAAAATACAGAATGATTACAAAACAAAACTCAAAAACAAAATAAACTTTACAAGTCTGAACTGTCGATTTAAGGAACACTTCAAAGTATCCCTTCAATCTCGGAGATTAAATTTTTCTACGCCAGGGCCACTCTACAAAGGACTAAAGCTCTTTCAAAAATACCAAGAACACACATACTTGCACATGGATCACGTGGTAGCTACATCTATTTCCAAGAAGAGAGACACAATAAATATTGCACTTAACATCTACTAGTTGAAGTTCCTCAGATAAACTACTGGGTAGAACCACATTACCTTACTGCTGTTCCTTTCATGTTCTGTTTTATCATTATACCAAGGTTCATCCCATTTTTCTTCAGCTTGCCAGGCATACTTTAAAATAGTACTCAAAATGGCTTCAAAGAGGAGGATTATTAGATAAATAATCAAAAAGGAATTCATAGACCTAGAACAAGGCCAAAAAAGATTCAATTTCAGTTTATTTCACTGAATCTGTTGACACACTATGTACATATGACCTGATCAGAAAAGTTAGTGGATGTTTTTTAACCTGTATTTCACATGGACCCAAAGTTACTATGTGACAAAAAAAAAAAAAATAAACAGGAAAGAGAAGAAAATCAACATCTGGCTAATATGCATTCTACATACAGTCAATAGGAGGACCAATTAAGGTGCAAGAATACATTCTCAGTTGACTTGTGTTACACCTGTTGTCCAGAATTCTGAGGGCTGACAGTCTTCTTCCAAACATTCCCTTCTTTCCCAAATATCTAGTGAGGCTGTGATGGCAGCAGAAACAACTACCCCGGAAATTCAAAGCTGAACCTTCCTCCTCAATTAGAAGAGCACTTCCTTGTCCATCTAGTTATTTAACTCTAGGTATGCTATATGAAGGGGACTTCTCAAACATTCTGTTATGTCCTTCTACCCCTCTGATGACAGAATTTTTTCTTGTGCAGCCTACAGATTTGTTTCTATCTGACTACAGAAGAATAATCAATCTCACATTTCCAAGAGAATGTGATGATGCACTCTCTGTTTTTTGGGGTTTTTTTTTGTGTTTTTTTTTTTTTTTTTTTTTTTTTTTTTTTGTAACAAGAAAGGCAACACATCAAAACTCCTTTTTCTTTTAAAATAATTCAGTGAGTTCAACATATTAAATCTCTGTTACAGGAACATTTATCACCTATTTATAACACAATTTTTTTTAAACTGAGCCTACAACTTGTGTTAGAAACAAGATTCACTGTAGAAGATATCCTTAAGGACAAAGCCTATGCAGATACCCAAAACAAAACTATATTCCTGTTGTATCAGATACCAGCAATCAGGACAAAGATCTGCAAGCAATTAAGATTTTAGTTCATCCTATTTAAAGACACGATGCAGCCTTATAGTAATGTTGCAGAGACAGCAGAGGCTACAACTGCTATGAAGAATACTTCTGTAAGCACCTTGTTCAAGACTGCACTTCACCTACCATTAGGTGTTCCCTGCTCCTACATTAACTTCTGCTGCCTACGTCCTGAGTATTACAAGTCTGTGTGTTACTTAAAGAAACAATAAAGGATATAATTACACAGAAGGAAAGTAAACCAACTGTCCTCTCTTCCCTTGCCTACAACCTAACAGTGGGATCACAAGGCTACTTAAGTTAATGAGAAAAGACTAAACAACAATTCTAAAAGCAAGAAAGGTATTAGAAAATAAACATACTTTTCTACTGCTGACCGTTTCTGAGATTTACTCTTGTAATTTAATGCCATCTTTGTCTCCATACCTGTATACACTGCAACACCTGGGAATAAAGAGGAGAAAGGATATTGCTTTCTGCATGTATGCAATTTGTGGCATTCTTCATTTTGTTTAAGAGACACAGACTAAAAATCAAGAGGTGATTATTTTTGTATTTACTTCAAAGTAAGTGAGACAGTATTTTGTAATTATTTGCAATATTTCACTATGGTAAAACAGTGATATTGCAGTAATTTTAACACCTACTAAAATACTGTCCATTATTATTTCTTACTGCTCTTTAATATGTATTTTATGGAAATCAGAATCTCAAGAGAAAGTCTTGAACAATGTAACAGTAATATCAGTCATTTAACCATTAAAGTTACTCCTTTATCAAACCACTTGAAGTATTTTCATAAAGTGATGTTGAAACTCTGTATCCTTAGCGATTCTTTAGTGTAATACCATTACTTTCATCTACAATCACATCTCCTCAGGTAACCACCAGGAAGATTATCACAGTCTCTTCACTGCAAGTAGAGTTAAACCACAGTTCATCAACATGCTTTAAGAAGAGTCTACAAACCAAATATTTCTTTTGTGTTTTTTAATCTTGCTCCACGAAGTAAGAGACTTTCAGGCCCCAGAGGTCTAAAAAGAAATAGACATACCAGCATTTAAAAATGAGTTGTTCCATACTCTGTGGGGCTAATGACATCCAGTTTCCTATGCAAAGAGGTCAAATGTGTTCTGTAAATCCCCTCTCATCTCCAGAGCTTTCAGTTTCATCCTTTGGTCACCCCCCCAATATCCTCCCACTAGCGGCTAGTGCTGAATGTTCCAAATGTCTGATTCAGAGAGAGCTGCAAGTTAAGTGAAGAGCCAACATGCCAAAATCCTGTCAAGTCCACAGTGCAACCGGAGCGTTATTTTAGTTTTATCTGTTTTATCTTACTTCTACTCCTCTGTCAAACTGAAATTCTCTGCCAGGTTCAAAAGAAATTATTCAAATCGGTAAAATAAAGATGGATGGACAATATAACCATGCAAATTCTGGTTTCTAAAGCAAAAAGATAAAATTTTACATGTGCTTTTTCTCTTCACATCTATTAGGTCAACATAATCCATTCATCTGATCAGCTAACTGCAAAATGTGAAAATAAAGGCACAGTTATGGGCAAAGTGCATACAAAGTTAATTTTGGATACTTTACTCCAATGGCTGCATTAGCTTAAATGGAAATCAATACTGCTTTCATATTTGATTCATGTAGAAGTTTTACTAGAAAAGTATGATATTTATAAACATTAAAGAGTGAAAGAATCACAGCACTAGCTTATTTCTGTGACACACTTAGCATCATGACACAAGATCACACGTTGAAGTGTCTGACTCGTGTTTCTGCTGTTTGGCTGACTGCTCTTTTGTTAGCTTGTTTTTTAGACTCAGCCACGCTGCCCTCAATAGAAAACAATCTGTGTGCTAAATATTCAATTTAAAACACCCCTCCCTGATGCTTATTCAACCATAGCTTTTTTTTTTTGTGATGGTCAGTTTAATTACCACTATGTTCTTAACATTAATCTGACAGAATTTTACCTACCGTACTATTTCCTCCATTTGTTGGCTTATAGTTATTCTTCCAACAAACCTATGAAACAGGGTAAACAGGGTCACGTGTCAGATATATCTACATAAAATCTCAAAAGGGCAAAATGAAATAAAATAAACACTGAGCCATTCCACACCTACATAAAGATCATTAACATTTCTCAAATACAAAATAATCAGTCTTAATTAACAATGCAAATAAATGAGAACAATAGGGCAAAGGCAAAACTGGCAATAACTTTCACAGGGAGTCCTATATTGAACTGAAATCTCCTGAAGGAATTATATCCAAGTTTCTTTCTTCACCTTGTCTGGACTCATTGTCCACTTAATTTTTAATAGTTTGGGAAGAAGTTTACTGTTTAGAACAGAAAGGTACATAAATAAGCGTTATGATTAAAACTCAAAATGTAAGTACACTATAGTTTCTCATTTAGTATTGAAATACTCCAATTCAACTCATCACATACATAAATGCTTACGCTCATAATTAAACCCTGAGATACAAACAGATGTTTGAAACTACTTTAAATCTAGCAAAACCCATCTCTCTCCTAATAGTGAACACATCATTAATAAGCATTTTGAAACAAAGTCAAAATTAATTATACCTGTATAGATCTGCCTCTGGCTGCTGACATTCTATGACAGCTACAAGTTTGTCCAGGTTGGCAACTGACTGTAACACTGCTGTTTCTGGGACTGCAACATGTGTCTGGAAAACACCATCCATTAACTTTCAGATAAAGAAATCAGATGGCATCACATACTAGCTACGTTCTACTTCATAACAGTAATCCAGACCTTAAGATTAGTTTCGCCATCCAAACTTGCGGTAGTAACATGGCATGAACCGTCCACTCGATCAGAAGATAAAAGCACCAGATCAACAGGAAAAGTCTCATCTTTGGCTACTCTGACAATGTCTCCCACCTAATGAAATGAAGATAAATGAGAAGTATACAAAAAAAAAGTTTGAGAAGATTTAAATTTATAACTGTTCTTGAATCATCATGAAACAGAGATTAATAATGAAACAAGACCTTCAGTTGTTGGGTTGTTTCTTTTTTAAAAGTTTCACTCTGTCTTTAGGCACATACCCGAATGTTTTTAGATCTAGTTTTTACAAGGCCACCACTTCGAACAACATAAACTGGAGCACCGTTTACTTCATTGTCTGCTTTATGTCGCAGCCAGTCTTCATAACCCTGTGAAAACACACATTTATTTTCCAAGCATAAACTTGTGAAGCATCACCACTTTTAAATAAACATGCTTCAAACTGCTTGCTGTACAGCCTCACGTGGAGTTACTTACTTCTCTCCAGCATCATCCACAGCTGTTACTCAAGAAGCTGAGAAACCATTTACTTTACTCAAGTAGAAAAAGTGCTGAGGAAACACAACTGTCCTGTGTTTTGATAAAACAAACTGACATTTTGTATGGATGTATCAACAAGCACTCATTCAGTCTCAGATCTGTATGGATTAATATACCTCAAAACATGGACCAGTCACTCCTAGTCTCTCTAATGGATTTTTGTTGTTGCTATTCTATTTTGTATTCTATGCTGATGTATTTTTAATACATAAATTAAGCAGAATTTCTTTACAAGACACTTGACATCTCTTTAAGCATCCTTTATTCTGTGCACATGTGCAAACATTCATGAGAGTGAATCCAGGTGCACTTTTCCTCTCCTGCTTTCCTAAGAAATTAATACATTTTTTACTTAACCTAAAAGCACGGTGACAAATAGCATGATCCTGGACCCACAAGTCTCAGTACTGCCTGCTAAGTGCTACAAGTGAGCTCAATAAATCTGTCCGTCTACAGAAGCAGTTCAGCTGTAATATATCTTTCTGGAGAAAAAAAAAAAAAAAAAAAAGAGTGCTCATATATAAGAAGTTAAGCAAGTATTACTGAATAGCTTTAAGTTCTGCTTCTTGCTCACTAAGCCTAGTCAAATAAGCAGGAGATGAATGCATGCATGCATTCAACTCCAATAACAAAAGCAGGCTCACAGGAAGAATACGTAAGATGTCAGTTAGGAATTAGAAAAAAAGCTTACTCAATACAGAAAAGACATTTTCTGGCAGCTGATTCATAAACTTACATTAATGCACAGAATGAAACAAAACAGTGCTGCCATAAAATATTATGCATTAAGAAGCAAATGATGATTCTTAAGGATCCTCAGAATTCATGAGCTTCTGGTAAAACCACAGAGGATCAAAAATTCTCCACCACCTCATACCTCCTGGCAAGACTTTCATGACTGATTTGCAATAGTAGAGACATTTCCCAGAATGCTTCTATGCATAAAATAACATGAAGAAGAGTAAAAACAACTTCCGTGGAAAGTTGCAAACAGGGAAAGAGGGTCCCCTGAAACAGCATTCATAATCCCAACTCCTCCTATTATGCTAGAGAAGTTGTATAAATGTCCTAACACAAAGGCTACTAACACAGATGCAGCTGAGAACTCCGAGCCTTGACTTGCATTTGAAAGGAAATTATTTGATGAGTTCCACATGCTCAAGCACAGTTCTGCAGTTTTACCTTCATGCAAACACACTGTCACTAGCATAAATGAAAGCAGCAAGTACGAAGCTACCTAGGTTACTACCAAAAAAGGGAAAAAATTTACTTATTTTATATGCTAAACGCTTAAAAATTATTAATATGTCACAACAGAAGCCACACAGTGATACTGGGAAATTAGAGTCCTGAAACTCTCTAAGACTCTTTTCTAGTGAGTGTGAAAAACTTCAAGAGTCAGTACCTACAGATCCTTGTTAAAAGGTGACTGACAGAAGAAAACAAGAACTCGAGGAAGATCAAGTAACCTTGGGGTGTTTGTCTCATAAATCTGAACAGCTGAGCAATATGGGCATTTGGCAGAGAACAGCAATTTACCTTCTTTAGAAAATACAGATTTCAGCGCTTTCTCCATCTGACACCTACTGTCTGCAACACAACAGTGACACCTCACTCCAGGGAATTCTTAAGAGCCAACTTCCTACGGCCAGTGTAAATTCCCCCAAAGTTTACCCACCCACTGCAGCATTTTTGAAGAGTACCTTATCCTCACTTGAAAACATTGAAAAAATACTATCAAAAGAAAGATGCGGGAGCACTCTTAAAGTTACTTAATTGCATGAACAGAAAACAGATAAAAATCACTCTGATTATATTTTTAATTCCTGCTAATAAAAGAGCATCTGTGTACTTTAGTCAGGAATAAATTTAAAGCAGGCCTGCAAACTGCACTGCATGGTTTTCATTCTCAGTTTACTTGTATATTTAACCAAATTCTGCAAAGCAGTTACTTGTCATTCATATGGCAACCATGTAAACATCCATGTGTCCAATAAACTTATTTGCTAAATACTTAAGAACTTACTGAAATGCACCAAGTTCCCTAAAGTTCCTTAGAAAATGTTATCTGTACAAGATATAAATAAAAAAATAAAACATCTGTTCTGTTTTTCTTGACTGTTATTTTTGATTCTTCTGTGGACTGCCTAAGCATGTTCAGAGGCAGCAGGAGGAAAGTGTTCCAAACTAACAAGTTCAACAAAATGACACAGCATGAGTTGCAGCATTTTGCAGTCTTTATGTCCTTCTTCTGACCTACGTGCAATTGCACTTCTGATAAGAAAAGGTTCCATTTCCTTGGCTGAGATTAAAATACAGTGAAGTTCTGAAGGAACTTTTTGATAGGGATACCAAGTTAACTGGCCTTATGAAAACACGTTAGAGTTTTTCCATCTGCTGCTGAACTTCTCAAACACAAATACAGATAACACCTCTCATTTCCCTTTTATCTTTGGAAAGACCTCTGAATTACAGTTAAACATTTATCCCACGTAATTTGTACCCTGAGGTTCTGCTAGAAACTTCTTCCTATTCCACTTCTGGTGGAGAGAAAATGGGAACTGGTTTGGAGACCATACTGGGTGTTTTCCTCTGCATTCCGAAAGAAGATTTGTATTTCCCTCTGGTTCAAGTGCAGTCTGTTGGAAAGAGTACACTGAATTGTCTTTCCAAGGTAAGAGCTTATGAATATTGCTTGCCCACTTTGCAGCAGGTAGAATAAAGACAAGAGTCCATCAGATCAGATTCAGTGGTTCCAGTAGCCCTTGAAAATAAATCTGAAATGGTGAGAAAAAAACTCATAATGCTCAACAACTCATACATGATTTGAATTTTCCAGAATGAATTTCAGAATCTCTGTTCTTTTCAGGTGATGGTAAAATATTTAAATTTCCCAATGTAAGACTGGACACCGGGAAACAAGAAGGCAAGAGATCATCTTGGACTACTTTGGACTTTAACATTTTTTCCAAAAAAAAAAAACAAAAACAAACCACACCCTAATATTTGTAACCAACTTTCAACATCATCTTATACTGCTTTAAGTGATATTTTCTACAATGACAGCTCTTGAATACATTTTTTGGGTGTCAGTGTAGCAACTGAGTTGGGTTAGGGCTCTGCATATATTAACTGCACAGCAACAAACCGAATGGCAATTCAGAGATTTCTACAGCATTAAGTTCCCCTCTGCCCCAAACACCAATCTGACTGAAAGCCAGAGCTATTTTTATTTTAGCCCTACTTCAGGGTGGTTTTGCGTCTTGCTGTCACAACAGGCAAATTGAAATTCCAACTTTAACTCCAAATAATTCTCCTGCTTAATTTTCAGTTGCTATGATTGAATGTCTTCTCAAGACAGCACTGTCAAATCCTCTGAAGGGGCTAGCTCCTGAAAACTATCTGTCTGCAGAAACAATTATAGTTTCTAGCCACATCACCGCTTTATTTCAATGCTTGTTTCTTTCTCCTCTCACCTTAAGGGTAAGAAGAAAGCAGAAGATTCCCTTTCTACATTAGCCTTAGAGGGTTTGTAGGTCTTCCCAGGGTCCAGTCCAGTGCTTAAAGATTCCTACCCAACTCATAAGATTTTATTTCAAGTGCTGCAAAGTATTCTAAAATGTTTTATGCAACTGAAAAAAAAAAACAAAACCAAAAGCAGAAGCTTCCCAAATGGTATCTTTTACCTGGTACAGGATTATAGTTAATGTATACTTCGTGCCATGAAACACAGCCCTTGGAGCAAAATTTGCCTTTTAACTACTGACAGACACGGGTTGCATCACCTACCCAAGCTCCCTTCTCACAGTTACACAGAAGGATTAATTTTAATACGTAGCGAGGTGTGCCAAAGGAATAAGCGAGGGGCTTTCAGAAAAGGTCTTACAACAAGTGACATGTAATGCTGAGACAAAAATGCTGTCTGACAGTCATCCACTTTAAGGGTACTACGGTGAGTCATTGAGAGCTTGACAACTAAGCAAAATGATGAAGTGCCTAACAAGAAACATAAAACAGACAAAATATTTCTGAAGACATCACTTTTTAATTGTTGTTTCTAAACATTATCTTGGTCAGACTTTGTTAATTAACTTCACCTTAAAGCCACAAGATCCATGCTACAGGATTTTTTCCCCTTTACCTGCTTTATGGCTGTCACAGTTATGACAAAGAACAATGGCAATCCACTCGTAATAGGACTGGTTGGGGTATCTATCATGAGCTAAAAGAGAAGAAAATGTAAAAATTAGCCCCAGTTTGATTTTACAATTGTACTGAAACAAATTTAAAAAATAAACAAACCCATGACAGTTGTTTTTCCAAGTTCTATAGGAATTCTACTGGATATCCTTTTGTCTTGAACAAAAGACAGTTCCTGACATCTGAACAGATGTCAATAATGGTACAAAGGTGCTAGGCCACAGAACAGACTTAATCACACCTGTAAGCACGTGCCAATCTTATGACTCATTGCTAAAATATGTATTTTCACCTTATGAAGTCAAATCTACATTTTGCTATGCAGTTTCTCTATTCTATACAATCAACTGCTTTAAGCAGTACAGAACATAACAACAAACACTTCAGAAGTGAAAATGAAGTTAAAAACAGCAGTTGCCAGCAGTCCAGATATTAAAAAAGCCCTTTTCCTAGACAGCCCCTTTTTGGTTCCTCCAACATGCGCATTTCACAATTTGTGCTATCGCTGTTTTCATGCCACAGTGCAGCGTATACACTAAAATGTGTGTGTGGGGGGAAGTGGTATGCTGGTGGCTCTTCTCTGCCGCAGGAAAAAACATCACTGTCAAGTGCTGCAAAGAAAATATACACAAGAGGGCTATTCAAAACCACAGATATTGATTTGATTCACTTTACCTGAGACTTATGGCATTGCTTTGGGAACCATTAAAGAAGAAAAAGAAAATCACACGTGAAGTTTACTCTATTAAGAGCCAAGAGCCACAGAGAACACAGATTATGACATTACAACACGTGCACTATTTATTTATTTCACTGAGATGCAGACAACTTAGAAAGTAACAACAAAATCAGACCTAGCTCGCAGTATCGCGTGTTCTTCAACTGCAGCATTACAATTTCAGCCCAGCAGCACCCTGTCCCAGACAGCCCCTGCCAGAAGCCTCTAGTTATAGCCAGATAAGCCTAACTATGACATTTCTGCCATGTGCAATCTCTTCCTCTTTCTCAAGATGGGCTCACATGTTAAAGGGGGGCAAGTTTTCTACCAGCGGAATCACCATGGCATATTGCTCCTCTTCTTACTTCACCAGAATGCCACAGACCAGTGCCTGCTACAGAGGTGGACACATATCCATTCACAGCTGGTCAGAGCACCACGCAACCAAAATGCAGTCTGCCACTATGTTTCTGGCATGCATATGTGAGGTGGACAGCGTGGATCGGATTGCACTACACATATAAACACAAAATAAGAACTCGCCCAGCCCTGTCATCCCCGGTGGAATAAAGTGGCATTGACAGGCACTGCATTGTGGTCACATGAGATTCACACAACAGAGAAGATACCATGGTGATCAAATGTTAAAGGCATCTTTGCCTTGTAAAAAGAAAAGTATTATGCATTAATGAAATTCTAGATGAGATTTGAATAAAAACAAAATTCTGTTCAGTAGAAAAACAGCAATGAAGAACAAAAATGACTGCAGCTTTATTCCTATTGTGTTTCCAAGAACAAAGACATATACACAAGACATACAAATTAGGGTATTCATTCAAGTCATAAATTAAGAGAAGAATAACGTAACACTGAATAGCAGTTCTGCCTTAAGGTTCACATTGGTTCATGGGCATTGCGTTTAGATATTACTTCAGTCTAAACTAATAGTTTGAAAAAAAGTGACTGAAATTGAATTATGTAAGTAAATTTGTACTAGGAAGAAACAAAAGCTTGAAAAATGCAACACTTTGTGGTAACTGTAAGTAGCATTTACGTTCCATCTCTGGCATGTTCCCATCTTCCTTGTGCTATGATCCACTAAACAGTATGGGACACCACAACAGGAAGGACAAAGTCAACATCTTAACTACGACAACAGAACAGGAAGCACATCCTGTTAAACGAAGCCACAACAATATGACTTTCTTTAGGGATCCTAGCAATCCCTAACAAGAATTTTCAGTCTATTAGAAAGTTTACTCTTTTTAAATGTGTGAGAAAAAGATCATGGGACACAAGAGGCAATGGATTAACAGATGCACAACTGGCTGTGCTACTTACACATGACAGAGTCACAGCCGAATCTATCCAGCACTTCAGTACTCTGGTTTTTGTCATGAGGCACCACCTTTTTCATGTGCATAATGTAAGTACTGGTCAATCACCACAGAGGGTTGTATATATGCCAACTATTTTACTTCACAAATGAAAGAACAGTTTACGTAACCCAAAATCCTGTCTCTGTCTTAGATACGAACCAAGTCTTTCAAGTGGTATTTTCTCTCCCTACCATCTCTATCTCACTTATCCTTCATCTAAGTCTGCAATAGCTCTAGAGAATTTCAGTACAATTACAGAGCTGGAGGTACAAATATCACAGTAAATTTACAGTCTTATCCCTTCAATATACTCGCTGATGTTATTAATTAAAAGAAATATATCTGGCTACAAAAGCCACAGTGGTATTTTTGACCCTTACTTTACCGGCAGCCCTGATACCTTCAAATCTGACAAACTGTCAACCCTAGCTGTAAATTCTGTGTGCTCCTTTTATGTGAATTTGAGGAATTTAGAACTGCATGACAACCTTGTGTTGATTTACACAAGTAAGGTCCCATACAGAACAAGAATGTGCAACACTGTCCAATCTGATGAAAGCAAACTTCAAATTTTACCAGCAAAGCTGGAAATGTGTTGTTTTTACAGGAAATTGAGAAGTTAAATAAATTCTTAGAATGGAAAGTGAGCAGCAGAATCCACAACACAAATGGCAATTACCACCTTAATTTCTATGGCTAAACTGAGTATTATTCACTTACCTGAACCAAAAATATTATCAGAAAATAAAAGTTGGCTATTCTTCTGAACTGTTCAAATAAGTTTTTTGGAACAAAATTCCACACTGTATACTGAAGGAAAAAAAAAAAAAAAAAAAAAAAGAACAGTTACAACATGCTGAACAGAAGAATTCATTTTCTCTGCCATCAAACTCCCTTAATTCCCATTTTCCATCTGCCCTCCCCAAACTGCATCTTGGCAGTGCCCTACTCCCAAAAAGAACAGCTGTATCCAGTCTCATGGGCCCATGAAGGGCACCTAGAAGGAAAGCAGGAGTAGCAACTGTGTTGCATTTACAGACATTTTAACTGTTCTCGTGCCAATTTGGATAGGAGAAACCAGACTAATCTAGTTTCTTGCAGCCGGGCCACCAGAGAACAGATTTATTCTTGCAGCTATACCCTTTCTCTCCTACACTTCAATGACAAAACACCATCCCCATCCTATCAGTTCTGTTGATTCCTATCCAAGGTCACACTGGGAGGGAACCTGCAACAATTCCTTGCTTATGATACGGCAATTTTACAAATCTTCACCAAAAAAACCCTTCACCCTTCCTACTAAATCCAGACAAGGGCTAAACTAGTTTAAAAGCCACTTTAGAAGCCCTGAACAACATCATTCTAGACATAGGCTCTGGGGAGAGAGTGATGGGCTGTACCAAGTATTTCCCCTTACCTTGGATGATATGATTCTGTTGTCTGCAAACTTCTGAGGAACATAATGGCCATGCTGGGGAAAACGATTTGCTATATAAATAGTTCGTGTATCGCTTTGATGCGGTGGGTCAAAACCCTAGGACACAAAATGAGAGAAAAAAAAGATGGTCAGGAAAGACTACTTTTATTACCTGTTGTTTAAAAAAATATATACATCTGCTAACATTGTGCTCAAAAATGATACTTAGCTATGAAGGAACAGATTTAGAATGCAGGCTTTTGAATCAGAAATAAAATAAACCTGGAAATTAAAGTCTGCTGTGTCAAGAGAATTTACAGAAGCTGAACTAAAAAAAAATCCAATTTTTGCAGTTGTGTACTCATTCTGGAAAATGAAAGAAAAATCAATTGTAAGGCTCAAGAAAGTCTCATGAAAATTCAAGGAAAAAAGAAGCAGAAATGGAGATGAAAATATGTGAACTATGGAATAAAAAATTCATGGCTATGCCCATGATAACTTCATTAGATCAAAAGAAAAGACAAAGCAAATAGGTCATACTACTATGTTGTAATAATTGTTTTTTGTACAAGTTTTCATCAGCTTAAAAATGAAACCATATACACCAGAGTTTTTCACCAGCGAACTCAATCTCCAAGAACAGGTAGGCTAATCTCAAAATTGACTCTACCATTGATTCACACATTATTGATAGCAACAGTGAAAGCAAACACAAATTTTACTCAGAAACACTTTGCAATAGTTTTCAGCCAAAACAGCAATTCTGAGTGACGCCCCTTGGAAGCAAAGCCTTGCTTCATGTCTAACGCTCAGGATTTTCATCAGCTGCCTCTGCAAGCAGAGGGGAATGCAGGTATTAAACTGAAACATGGAATGCAGGTATTAAACTGAAACGTGATGTATAAAGTAGCATAACAGAAAACATGAGTTATAGCACAAGGCTGAACAATAACCAGCAAAGAGCAAACAAATTGAGGTGACAGCCTAAGGCAGAGGAAACTCAGAAAATGCTAGCACATCTTCCAGCATAAAGAATGCTTCCACTGAGAAGTAACCTGAAGGGTAAGGAAGAATAGAAGCAGGCTTCAGCTGCAGCAATGGAAACTTAGTTTTGGTGCCAGAAAAACAAATTTGGGATGGCAAGGAATAATCAGAAACCAAACCAAGTCATGTGGGAAGGCGGTGATGTCTCCGTAACACAAGGGCTTATAACTAGGTCGCTCTCGCCTATCTTTACTAGAGCCTTTCCTGGGGCTACATGACTCACAGAGCCTTTGCCAGCTCCTGTATTCTGACCTGGAGAAGCAGGTGATAGCAAGAGACAGCAAGAGAGACACAAAGTTCAGATAACAGTCCAAGAAAATGACTAAAATACAAACTAAAAAGCTCTACCATGTGGTGCAAACCAGCAATTAAACTTGGAACTGTCAAGTTGCTCCCACCAGCGACTGTGTGGGAAGTCATGAATCTCAGCACGGGAGTCAGATGTTTATCTTTGAACTGACAAACGTGATTTGTGTCGTATACGGCCTCCTTGTTCTCTGACGCCAAGAGAAAGGACAACTGATAAAACAGGCAGAAAGGGCATTACCAGTTCCAGTACTGGCAGTGAGGAATTCACCTTTGCAGTTGCATTGTTCTACCTGTGAAACCACGCTCAGACCTTGGTTGATCTCTAATAAGAACTGGTATTTCAGAGAGCTCCAGCAGAAGAGACTTCCATACCAATAAATAGTGGGGGTGACAAACAGCGAGCAAAATGAACTACACAAAGAAATGATAGATGCAAGCAAGAATTTTCACTCACCCATAAAGTTCTCTAATGTAAGACATGAGGTATGTTCACATCTAGGACAGCGTCATTTAAAGTGAAGACATAATTAAAAAATCCTTTCAAACCTGCAGGTTACTGCATTACTCATCTCTAATAGAGAAACATTTCACTTCAGAAAGAAAGAGGTGCAGAAGGAAGAGGAGGGTAGTAACAGGAGAGTTCTGAGAGAGACCTGAAGGAGAACAGAGCTCCTCCGGTGAGCAGCAGAAGCCACGGCAGTCACACCATGGTGTGGAAGGCCGTGCAATGATAACAGAAAGTAGAAATTGGAAAGGACTGGAACAGTGTACATACAGGATGCCAAAAATACAAGGAAAGAGCTGTTCACAACTCCAAGAAAAGGCATATCAACATGAAAGCAAGATATCTGTTGAATGCTGACATAAAATTAAAAAAAAAGAATACTGTAGCAGAAGCAGTTTGGAGATGGCATTTGTGACATACCATTTGTAAATCACTCCAGAAGATGCCACAATATAGTTGTTCCACAAATAAGAGAAACACTGTGCTAAATTAGTAAGAGCAGGCGCACAGATGTATCGCAGAACATGTCTGGCACTCACGAAATGCCAGATTCTCTCACTTTGGAAAATCAACTTTCAACTTCTCCATTTCAAAATGACTAAATGTAAAGCAGGGGGAAAAGTGAAAAAGCAAAGAAAGCAATGAGTAGCCTTGCAGTGGTGGTAAATGGCCATCTCTGCGCTTCTTACTCAATGAAAAATGTCAGTCACTCCAAAATCACAGATATTTTTTACTGCAGTACTTTTATTTTCCTTTTAGGTCACTACCTGAGCCCTGGCTGAAGGAGCACTCTTAGCATTTTTAGCAGGGAACAGCTCTGCTCAACCAGACCGAACAGGTTACAAGTAAGGGATGTATTTTCTAAATCAGAATCTCAAGCCACAAAAGGTTACAGCTGCAGCTGTGTGACCAAAACAGCTTAAAACTGCAACTGTTTTGTTCAGATCTACCACAGCAAAGTGCCAACGCTGCTCACACAGCAGACCCATGGCGACAGTGCAGGAGGCAGGCAGGCTGAAGACACAAACCTCTGGAGCTGCGCAGCTCTGGCTGGCAGAGGATGCACCCCTGACAGCCCCAGTGAGCTGACCACAGCCACAGCAGGGAGTGAGCAGCAGAGCTGGGACAGGAACCCACAACTCCTAATCTTTATTTCTGTAACCATGAGAGATGCTTCAAAATTGCCCGGCAACTCTGTCATCATATAATTACCTAATGAGAATTCTTCTCCAGAGAAATTTTAATTACGCTTCCCTTCCAAGAAAGTTCAACTTCTGTGCAGAATTTAATTGTTCAGGAGGAGAAACTGCTGTAATTCTCCTATTACTGTGACCATTGTCACAGATGCTGCTCCTGCTGCAGCAGCCTGTAGTCCAAACCTCTGCCCAGAGGGAACAGGGCAGTAGCTGCACACAAACCAGCAGAGCTGCAGGAAGCACGCTGCTTCCTAATTTTGCTTGGAAGCAGCTTCTTCCTCTATTTCTATAGTCATTATGGAACTGAGCTGCAGAATTAGAGCAATGTGCCATTCTCAAAGAGTTTCTGCAGCTAAGTAGCGTGAGTAGGGAATCCCTACATCAAGTTTTGGCTCTTGAGAAAAAAAAAAAATCATAGCTGTCACCGATACTTCTCAATAGAAGTTTCTTTTCCTACTGCTGCCTAGTGAGGTGATTTCTACCTAAGTCACAGCCCATTGACTTCATAACAAATAAAGCAGAGTTTATTGCAAAACCTGATGTTAAAGACTTCTTAATCAGGCGTATTACATGAATCCATTGTAAATAAACATCAATTTTAACCATAAGATTGACTTGTTTTCATCCTTTCATGCTGCAAATTAAATATAGATTTATTGGCTGGAGCTGAGCCACTCCGTTTTGTTTTTTTTTTTTTAAAAAAAAAAAAAAAAAGCACAAACCAGACCTCATCTACCACTGGAATACAGCTCTCCTATTTCATCTTCACTACACGACAGCCTAATAGAAAATCTGCACCCAGATAAACTTGACATATTTGTTTTTTGAAAACAGCTGAAACAAACACGACTTGTATACAAGACAGCAATGTCCGAGTCAAGCTGATTTACAAAGCAGAAAGCCAGACTAATTTTTTGGAAAAGAGAAAAAAAAAAAAATATAAGGTGATTCCTGTTTGGTTTGCTTTTAGAATATAAATTGGTACTGACTCTAACCAAATGCAAAGGCATTTTTACTGAACACTTCAGTAGTGATTTCCTCGGTGTTCTGAGTTAGATAAAGACATCCTCCATGTAATAAATTCAGCCCTCTTAACCAGCACAGAAAACATGCTTGGGAACTGAGGGGAAACTTCTGACTGTGATTCTGTGCTATTTCTTGGATGGAAGAAACTGATTCCAACAGCCACCTCTCCTCCGCTTCCCGCTTTGATGCCTCCAGCACACCGCCGTGCTGGGCACTGCCTGCACAGCCCTACAGTAAAGCAGAGTGGGAAACTGACTTGGCTGAAAAGCCTCCATGCTCCCAGTTGCGTGTTGGTGCTTTTTTGTAATGGATCAGATCCCTAAAACCATCAATTACGTGGCCAACACAACTGCTTGGCCAGCACAACGTAAACACGCAGCACGGGAGAAGTTCTGCATTGCTGCTGCCCAAGCAGTGGGAGCATGAACAAGGAATTGGGTAACTGAGGAAACAAGCAAAGTAAGCAAATACTTTTTCATCTCAAATCAATCAAAAAAAAGAGAAGAAGCACCACGAAAAAAAGAACTGTGCAAAGGAAGAGATGGCCATCCCATCACCTGCAAACATGAAGAAACAAAGAAAGGAAAACCCTCCTCCATCTACTGCAAACATGTACTTCACTAATAGCACTACCACAAAAGCTTACCCTAGGACAGCATCCCCTCACATCCTCCCCAAGCACTCTGAAGCACTGTTAGGAGAGACAGCAGAAATCTGCAGATCTCCCCACTAGGATTAGGATTAGTGACACATGAGACCAGCACACAACAAATCAGTTGCTGTTTCCAGCTTTGTAACACATGCATCAATAGCTACAAGTTATCTGACAAGCAATTTTTGCTTAAGATCTGCCTACAAATAGTGTATTAACAATATCCTTGTGTTTCTTGATCGTTCTAATTTTTTATAGGAAAATTAAAAAAAAAAATCCTACTTGTGAGGAGAACTCCTGGTACAGAACCAGTATCCAGTGACTGGAAAAAGGAAGGCCCAAGCAGAGACTCCTCCTCATTCCAGAAATCACACTGAGCGCAGCT